CGTCAGTTTTAACCCCCCTGAAACTTCGTTATTGATAAAGCAATAATCAATAATCTTAATTCTGAATGATCAAGAAGACAGCATACTCATAATTTTCAGCTTATTCAACCATGTTCAATTATGGTGTAGCCTCCCTCCAATATTTAAATGCCCTCTTTGTAGTAAGGCTCATTGATGACTATTGTTGGCTATGCGGGCCCAAGTCATCTCTGCTAATTGTCTAACATCATGATCCCATGTCAAGTCTTCTTCTATCTTCTTCTTCTATCAAGTCTTCTATCTCTTAATTCCTCGTGGGTGCCATGCTGTAATTTTTGTGATCCATCTCTTATCCGTCTTTTTCGCCAGGTATCCTGCCCATTGTCACTTGAGGGATTTGATTCATATCTATTATCTGGGTCTTTTGTCGTATCCACTCTTTTATTATTGCCATAGGATATATTGAGCCGAAAGCCTTCTCAAAGTCTATAGCTAGTGGAAGTTCGTATTATTTTGTTCGTCTGATAGTTTCTCTTATCAATCGTGCTGCAGTCGCTTCTAAAGCCTGCTTGTTCTCGTGGCTGCGCAGCATCTAGCGTGTTTTGTATTCTGTAGTTACAAGAAGACATATAAATTGTCAAAAGCTAGCTATATTGTCAAAATATATTAAGCCAGAAAAAAAAGGATGACTTGCAAAAACAAAAGAGATCCCCTCTTCTTCCACTAAAAAAAGTTGTGAGATCTTGAGTTGTGCATGTAAAACCAAGTCAGTTATTTTACTTAGTGTCTTTGGAAGCACCTAATCAACAACTTATAGTGACCAATCAATATTAGACATTTTTTGGCCGACCATACCAGCAGGTATGGTAGGCTATTAAGATCGACAAAAAAAACTGTTTTTAGTTTCACTCAAAATGACCTAAATACAAAATATTTTCATGGTGTCTGTCTGTCTGTCTGTCCGTCTGTAACACGATAACTCAAAAACCGCTAAACCGATTTTAATTAAATTTGGCACAAAAATACTGTGGCACCAGAGAATCTGGCCATTAGTTTTTATACTGGGGGTGGGGGGTTGGTAAGGGGGTATGGGAGGACGTTAAAAATTTTAAAAAATCGTAACTCAAAAATTACAGTAGCTAGCGAAACGCGGTTTTCAATTTAAGATTAGGAATAATATTTGCAACAAAATTTGTGATAACATCAAAATCAGTCAAAGTCGCAGTTTTTGAGATATTCCGTGTTTCCGTAGTCCGTTTTTGAGAAAATCCGTGTGGAGAACTCCAAACTCCCATCGGGCGCGACTCCGGGTGGCGGATAGAGGAAATAACCGCGGACCAAGATTGGAAAAATTCCTTTACTTTGAAACTAAAAGAACTGCCTACCAACTTTTTATTAACATATTTTAGTATGGGCGGCTATACGTGCCTCCCGTCGCCAATTTTTTCTAAGATAATTATGACTAGGCTCTCGCACATCACCATTATTATAAAGAAATAATCTACTATTTCGATTACTAAGTAAATATAAACAGTGCACTTAAAAATAAATAAAGGATTTTAATATTAGTAGATTATGTTGCCGTGCACCTTGACTTCGTAATATATAACACTATACATACTACTATATAATATCTCAATAATATTCCAAGTGTGTATAACTTATACTTGTGAGTTGTTTTTAAAAAGGTACACGACCTACAAAACTTTGATTTTTGTAGATCGCTTTAAATAAAAGACATTTTTTTCTCTGGATTTTATTATAAGCATCTTAAAGCACATACATAAACGTTTACAAAAAGAAACTCTAATATAATATAAAAACAAAACACTTCAAAAATAATATTATCAATATAAAATATATGCCCTGCACCCCGTACTTGAAGTAGACTCTTCACAATAAAAATTAAACATAGGGCTTCTTAAACAAAACATAATAAGTTTAATAGACATCTTTAACACTTAGTAAGGCCACTAATGTAACCTAGAGTAATACATGTTAATTCTAAGTTCAAAATAAATATATTTCTTGAGTATATTTTAGAACATTAACTTTTATCAATCAACGACCTGAGTCAGTTATTATAATGGACATAGAGGCTTAGTAAGAGGAAAGTACAACGAGAACGTATTTGATCTCCGAACCTACATCTCCCTGAAAAGATATAAAAAATATAACTCGCATTAATTTAAACATTAACATTAGTAACTCCCGAGAAATACACTAGAGGGAAAGCGTTTAACTTGGCGCATTCAGGAACGCTTAGTAGTGTTCAGCAGTTGAGATGTTTCCATAGAATTTGTTAGCTACAGCTAACAAAATCTATGGAATTGACAACATCTCAGCTGCTGAACATTACTAAACGTTCCTGAATGCGCCTGTTTCTCTCAAACACTTTGCCTCAAAGTGCAATTTCCGGAGACATTTGTAAAGGCGATATAGTAACATCTCTTTTTTATTGACTAGTGGCAGTTGATAATATGAAGCATATACATATATATCAATAGGACACTTATAAAAAACAGAATTTTTTATGAGTGAAAATTTTGAGACACTGAGTAGGTTTACGGCGTGCTGTTAGACAGAATTTTGTGAAGTTAATCGATAATGGCCAGGAGAACCCGCTTGTAGTCACCCGATGTGTCACCCTGCAAAGGGAAGGATAGATTAGTATACAAGATTTTCTACTAAAGGAATGTATAAGCAACTACTTAACTAAATTTAGAACCAAAAAAATATCTAGACATAAAGCCAAACCGTAATTAAATAAATGAAATCGTCATTAAATTATAATTCTAGTTTATGTTAAGAATTAATTGTGTCCCCTCTATATTTTACACAGACTAAAACTTAGTTCAAAAAAATTTATAAGTTTTACCTGTCCAAATAAAAATGTTACATTTTTTATTGTTTACTCTCTTCATAGTTTCTACTAGGTATTTAATCAAAGCTCAATCTTTGTTACGATTACTCAATTGAAAAAAAAGAGAGAAATTATCGTTCTATTGGCCTCAAAAATGTATTTATTAATGATTATATATTTTTTATTACTATTTAGTTCAATTTTTTAGGAAAAAAGGCGCCAAGTAACCTGATAAATGAAGATCAATGACATTTTATATGGCTAATAAATATATGGCAAGGTTAATATTATTAGGTCACACGGTTCACTACGCCTCTTTTAATATTTTAGTTGAATTTTGTTGAATTAATAATGTTTAATGTTTTTCTGACTGTTGTCTGGTTGTCTGTCTAAATATTTTTTTAAGTAAACTTAATCTATGTACTACATACAATGTACTATGAGTGCAATGAGTATAAGCCCGTCACCAATTTATATTTGTAATTTTTATATAGGTTTGTGTTTATATATATATAAACATATCAGACATATCAATTTAGAATTATTAATAGATCAGTAAAAACTCATAATCCATATACAGGGTATCCCAGAAATAAGTGCAAGTATTTTAAGGGGTGGTAGATCTCGATGAAAGAAACATATTTTCTCTTTATCGTTTTTCAAATAAGTCCAAAATAACAGAGTTACTTTGAAAATTTCCAAAAAAAAAATAATTTTTTGCTAAAATTTTGAGAACCACTGGATCCTTTCTGGATTTTCTTTCTTGTATATTTAATTTAATACCTATGTTGCCATATTATCAAGAAATTATGTTTTTTAACTAAAAACTAAAAAAATTTCCAAAAAATTGTTCAAAACATTTCGAATTTTCAAAATCTTTTTTCGCGAAAAAAACCTTATAGGCGTGTTTCTGGGGTTGAACTATACTACCAGTTAAAATACTTGCACTTATTTCTGGGACACCCTGTATAATTTTATTTTCCAAGTAAGTAGAATGCGTGAAATAGTTTATATACCGGTTGGTGCATTTCTATGATATATCGATCTTTGTCTAATGTGTATTTTCGTTTGCACTAAACGTCATGTTAATGCTTAAAAACAATCATATTATTAAAACGTATACCTTATGAGATCAACTGTAATATAGAAAGTTTAACCCTCGTTTATACAGGGTCCGGCAATAGTGCGTTGGGCATCTGTAGCTCCTAGAATAAAAAACTTGGGGCTTTTCTTTAAGTACAAATCTAAAGTATCTACGACGATGTATCTCAGGAAAATATTTAACTGCTATAGGGTAGCTAAAAAAAGTGTGAGTGTATAGGGATTTTTTTTTAAATGGAACACCCTGTATATTGTTGCATTTTTGGCTTTTTTCCGGATCACTTAACATCATATTTTTTTCGGATCACTATACATTCAGAGATATTAATAAATAAATAAAAAAAATATATTTTTAACCTTCCTCAAAAAAATTATTACAAATACAAGAACTGTCCTGAAATCATAACTATATTAGGTATTTATGGATATATATATTATGGATGGCCTATACTTACTTCGCTATAAGTATCGTAATCTTAAATCATACAGGGTGTTCAAAATTCTATGCTAAACTTTCTAAAATATAAAATAATTTTTCTTTGTTTTTTTTTAAACGGAACACCTTGTATATTATTTTTTTATTACATGGAGAATTATAAAATGAACATTTTTTTGTATTTAAAGTACTTCAAAATTTTTAATGGTTTCGCAGATACACGCAGTATTATTTAATATGGCTGTTTCAACGGTAAAATGCGTCAGAAGAATCATTGGGTGGCTTTGATAAAAATTTACTGTGGAAATTATATATGAAATATAAAACCGCGAATATCTGCGAAACCGTTAAAAATTTTAAAATACTCTAAATACAAAAAATGTTTATTTTTTAATTCTCCAACTATTGAAAAATCATAATACAGGGTGTTCCGCTTAAAAAAAACAAAGAAAAATTATCTTACATTTCAAAAAGTTTGGCGTAGAATGTACAACCTGTATTATTTACGACTACCGTATTTATAGCGAAGTTTTGATTTTAGGACAGGTCCGTGTATTTTTAACAATTGTTTTAAGAAAGGCTGAAAATATACATTTTTTATTTATTAACATCTCTGACACTATAGAAATATATTTACTCATATTTTAGGATTATGTAAAGTGATCTAAAATGAAGCCAAACATGCTATAATATAGAGAGTGTTCCATTTAAAAAAATCATCCCGATTCTCTCACACTTTTTTGAGCCACCCTATAGAAGTTAAAATATTTTATGTTTTCCTGAAATAGAATGCATTATATACTTTAGGTTTGCACTTAAACAAAATTCCCAAGTTTTTTAGTCTAGGAGCTATAGATGCCCGACGCACTATTGCCGGACCCTGTATATTTTTGTGCATAATCAAAGGATAGTATCAACAGATGGTATATGTTTAAAGATAGTTTCAATAAGATCTTAACTATAAAATACTAGCAATCTCGACCTAAAAATACTTTTATCCTACCGTGAAACAAAGCCTAAGTAGTTTAGAAGAGATTCTATATTTTTGCTGCTAAAATGAGTAATAAGATGTAGTAAATTTTATAGAGATTCTGCCATCTAAATAAATAAAATATATATTTATTATAAATTTAGAGATATTAAATATTATTATTGATTTAAAGACATACTTCTTACTAAGAAAAATTATTGAAATTTTAATTTTCCTAGGATAAATAACTTCTTTAAAAAATGCTAACATTATAAAACTTCCCTTTAAATGAAAAATATAAATACCCTGAGGTAAAAAGTCATAGTTTCTTTTACAAACATGTTTTTAATTAATCCGTCTAGAGTCTCTCAATTTATACTGTCACACTATCTAATCTATAATCCGTAGATCTTCAAATATCTCTCTGTATATGAATAATTACAATTTAAGAAGGAATTTCAAAGACGCAAAAATCATGTACAGGGTGGGTCAAATTCGACGCTTTTAAATGGAAACACCCTTTTCTATAGGAGATAGACGAAAACTAATATCGGTGTCTGGAGCTCAATTTTCATCAAAAACATGATGGTGAAAACCGCACATCAATATCTGTTACCGTTTCGGAATTACGGGGTGTTTTTCAAAAATGGGCATTTTTAACAAATCGCTGTAACTTTTTTGCTATGGAAAATTTTGTATTTCTATGAAAACATTTCCAAAGTGTCTTTTTAAGTAGAATTTAATGGTTTAAGTATAATTTTTTTGAAATTAATAATTTAACAGTTATCAACAGAAAAATTGATTTTTTATTTGGGACACCCTCTATATTTTTAATTAACTCAAAAGAATTTAAATTACCTTTCCAAAAATATAGCACACTTGATATTTTGTTATAATCCCCTTCGAAATACAGAATTTTTAAAAGTTCGCCACTTTTAACTAGTAGGCTTTGGACCCCTTAATTGCTGTCCTCCTTTCACGCAGTTGAGCAGCTCTGAACTGTTCAAGAACGCGATACTCTCACTCCATTCAATTGAGTCATAAAGTTCCAGAACTGCTCCGCGCCATATAGAGGCACTAGGCTATCGCGCACAGCTCCTTTCAGATCCGTTCTCGAGTAGCTCCAGGGCGTAAAGCCCGGAACTCGAAGTTCGCGAATGGAGGACAGCAATTGATGATATGCCCTTAATGGAACTGGAAAACATATTTCTCCAGCAAGATGACGCACCGCCTTAGAATGCTGAAGTTATCAGCAAATTTTTGCAGCCAATTTCAAGAATAATTGAATAGCTAACCAAGATACCAGCCGTTGGCCGTCAAGACCGCCTGACTTAGTGCCCATGGATCTAATCCTATGGATATATTTGCGGAAGAATAAAGGTTCCTTATTCTTCCGTATAATCTAGATAAGAATTAGAAATACTTAGCAGTTATAAGAGGGTATCTTTCACCCCCACTGACTTAATGAATTCCACGAGAAATGTTTAAAAACTGCCCCGTCTGTCCATAACAGATATCGGTCGATATGTCGAACACCTGTAGCAAAATCTCATGTCTTGATTTACTATTTATTTTCATTGTTATTAGATATAGTTTAAATGTGTTGATGTTGGTTAAATATGTTTTAAATTGTTATAAAACTCTGATATCTCTCATAGCAAATATTATTTTCGTTTTAATTGATGCTCACAGCTAGAATTTTTTTGCATTACAGCCGGTGCCGTTCAAAGCCTACTTATTTAAAACGGGCGAATTTTTATATACTCTATATCTCGAAGAGGAATGGAGCAAAATATCAAGTGTGTTATATTTTTGGAAAGGTAATTTTAAATTATTTTCAATTAATTAAAAATATACAGGATGTCCCATATAAAAAATCAAATTTTCTGTTGATAATTTTTAAATTATTAATTTTAAAAAAATTATACTTAAACCATTAAATTCTACGTAAAATAGAGCTTTGGAAATGTTTTCATAAAAATACAATATTTTCCATAGCAAAAAAGTTACAGCGATTTGTTAAAAATGCATATTTTTGAAAAACACCCCCGTAACTCCGTAACGGTAACAGATATCGATATGCGGTTTTCACCATCATGTTTTTGACGAAAAATGAGCTCCAGTCACCGATATTAGTTTTTGTCTATCTTCTATAGAAAAGGGTGTTTCCGTTTAAAAGCGTCGAATTTGACCCACCCTGTACATGGCCGGCAAGAGAGAGTCTTGGTTTGGTATTTACATATGGCAATATCACAGCCCGACTCTATTTAACATTAAGTAGAGTCGGGTTGTAGCAATATGTGAGAGAAAGAATTTTACTTCAGGAGCCTGTGAAAATATTTGCTCTTCTCATTTTGTTCAGCACATCTTATTGTACTGAAACTGAACACATTGACTCTACTCTTCGTACAGACGAAAATCGACACCCAAAACCGGTGGATTTGCACATGAATGATATATTTATCATGCACAAGAACACTTATAAAATCTACAAAGCCCAATACTAATAGGTACTTACAAATAAAAGATCCATATTGTAACAGTAAAGAAAACAATATGTAATATATATTCTAATTTTATTAATACTCGATTTAATGAGAAAGTAAGCAATATAAATATGATTATAATACAATATGAATCTATAAGGTGATCGAAAAATTTCATAACTAAGGTAATTTGAACTTTGCCTCTTAACAGTTCGATAAATGTACTAAAGTCTTTATAAATCTAAAATCGCTCAGTTATAAAACTTGTTGATTATACCTATAGGGTATAAATGAATAAGTACAAAAAACTCATAAAGTGATTTAGCTTTAGAAAAATTATAGCAAGTTTTTCGTATATTTTTTTTCGATTTGGCGTTTTCTTACAAAAATATTTGCTGATACAGGGTGAATCAAAGACACAATACATCTCAATCATAAAATTTCACAAACACGTTTAACAGATAAAACAAGTACTACCATAGATTATATTATTAAATAAACTGGAAATTCAAAATGTTGATAGATGCTTAATGTGTTTTTTTTTTCAAATTTACTGTGTAGATCTGAAAGAATTACTAATACTTTTTTTCTTTTTGACCTCACTATACAGGTTGTTAATTTTTTTATTACTCGCAGCAAAAACTTTATGGTTGAAATATGGCAACCTCGGCCCGCTCGTAGGAACCTAATTAAACGACGCGACTGGACGAGTCGGCAGAAAACCCTGTAAGTGCATGCATTCTCAATAGGCAGTGTTGCCATTCTGTTCCCCTATAAGTAACTGTTTAGTTAAATAGCAAAATAAAAACACTAAATCACCACAATACACCAAAACACTTTTACTTTTACATTGGACGCGCGTTTCGCTAACCATGTTAGCATCATCAGCAGATGATTATAAACTAAGTATATATTAGTTTATAATCATCTGCTGATGATGCTAACATGGTTAGCGAAACGCGCGTCCAGTGTAAAAGTAAAAGTGTTTTGGTGTATTGTGGTGATTTAGTGTTTTTATTTTGCTGTGTAACACCAAAGGTTCCAACCCTCAACTGTAACTGTTTAGTTAACAATCTGTATAGAAACTATTCTTTAGTGACATAGAAGTTTGTGAATTACCTACACCCCAATTTTTTAGTCCAAACCTTGATTTAAAAACTGTCCAAAATACATAATATGATTTATATTTCCTCTATATAATAACTTTGTAAACGCCAAATCGACAATTTTTTTATGAAAAACTCTTATTATTTTTTTAAGGTAATCACCTCTCTGTTTTCCACTATTCATATACACCCTGTATAAGTGAGTCGTATGCTATGACGAAATGTTATATACTACACCTGAAAGCATCCCAGCATGATAATCTTAAATATGTATGAATAAGAAAAATAGCAAATTCCCAGTGTCTCTCATTATTAAATACCTTTTTTAACTACTTAATTAGCATGCAACATAGATAATAGTTTAAAAGTTCGACATACCTGGATCCAGCTCTCCAAGGTCTTTCCATACTTGTCTAAGAAAGCCTGTTTGATGTCGGCCAAGTCAATTTCAGATCTGGAAACGATGATTCTGATCAAGGTCTTGTCGTTGGTGCCAAGACCAGCCATGGACTCGTGGAGACGTTCGGCGAAATAACCAACTTTACTTCTTACGCATTTAACTAAAACAAAAATTTTGTTTATAATTCTTAAACCACAAAGTAGATATATATTAAAAACGTAAATAGTAATGTTTCGTTTATTGTTATTTGATACAGGTTTTTGTAGTAAATAAAAATGTCAATACTATATTGTTAAAGAAGTCAGAAATCAGCTAAATCAGTTTATCAGTTAACCTTTTATATATAAGAACCACAGCTTATTTAGTACCAGCTGGCCATCTTCGCTTGTTTTTGAGTATTTTCGTGTCATCTATTGCGCCTATCCTCATAAACATCCGAGCACCAGTATCCATTGTTTATTTAGAGGAATTTTTAATTCAACTCAGAAGCCGGCTTTTTGCATAATACAAGATAAGAGAATATCTAGATAGGTACGCAGATTTCCATGCAAATGATTGTTAGTCGACATGGCTGTGTTAAATAATAGTAATATTCTTTTTATAAACTGACAATTGGCTTCTAAGAAATATGTTAAATAATTGGACTAGCAACTTTCGTTTCAGAGAGATTTTTAATTTTGAAATTTAAAATAAGTATTTTTTCGTCTCCCGCAGCGGATGAAAATTAGAGCCAATCAGATGCATTCTTACGAATCTGTTCATTTTCTCAACTCTGAATATACTCAAAATTAATCAAATAAGTACAAAGGCGGCCAGCTAATTTAAGGTAATCAAAACTAAGAAGGATAGGACAAATTTGTGTGTAGCGTCTTTAGTTTCATAATAAAGTAGCACAGTGATATAAAAACCGCATGTTAATATCCCAAATAATAAACGAGAAAACCCATAAAATACACGAAAACGGTATACCCTGTACATTCTTCGGCTTATTTTGCGAGTAGTGTAGTAGCCCTTTAATAATCTCCGATGTACGTCACCAAACCTGTGACCAAACTACACTCACCGGCACGAAAGAGGGGCACCTCAAATTTTTTTATGTATTTTAAAGTTTTATATATTGTGCGTTCTAGTGAACCAATTTTGATGATTTTTTAAGCAATTTGTAGCTAAATTATTTGAATTTTTAATGTCTCTTTCTAAATTAAAAATGAAAGTTCTGAAAAATGAAATTTATATTGTGGTAAAAATTTGGAACACCCTGTGGAGTACGTTAACAAAGAAAGGAAGAATCATTGTATTATCTAGGTATATCTTGTTTCGATAGTTTGGTTTTTGAGTCATCAAAATAGCTTTATTTTTTTTTTGGAGATATTCGCTTTTGAAAGAGACACTAACATTTTTTCGTATTTTTTACATTAAATCCATGCCTTTGCTTTTGGTCCTAGATTTCCTTTTTTTGGTCCTAGTCTTGGGTCGAGATTTCCGTATGTAAGAAGAGTACAATGCGTTTATAATGTACTGAACAAAGAGAGGACAGCAAACACGTTGCCAAACGTAGGAAATAAACCGAGAAACTGTGCACATCGCTAAGAGACGTGGAAGGGGATATAGCAGATTTGTCGCAGTTGACCGGTCGACCCAATCAATACTTCTGTCAGTACTTAAAGTTCTAGGGAAAGGTGTACGTCATGCTTTCAGCTTCACGATTTAATTACGTCTCGTCGTGATATTATGATATTATGATATTATCTATAGCTTGAATTTTTTTAAGTACAAGCTAGAAACACTTGCATTTTTAGTAAAAATAAGTGGAATTGAGTGGGTGTTCGATAGTGGTCGCGCTATTAGAATTCAAAAATCGATATCTCGAAATCTATTACAAATAATAGATTGTAGTTTTTTCAAGAACTTTGTTAATATTTCTGCTGTATTTTCTTTGTAGAAAGTATGTGAAAATCTTTATCATTAAAAAAATTACACGATTGCTGAAAATTGCTATGCTCTAAAAGTAAATGGATGGATTGTTTACAATTTTTGAATGGAAAAAACAACCTTATCGAATTTTTCTTATGTAAACATATTGTAAAATATCCGATCTTGAAAATAAAAAAAAGTTTCAATATCTAAAGTGGTTCTTGAGTTATGGCCTGTTATGTGTTAAAAAGGTGAGTTTTTAAATTATCGGTATTACTGACGTTTTCTCGTTATAAAAAAAATTACACCTTAACGATATCCTTATAATTCCATTTCAGATGCTCAGAAACATGTCTAATGATTTTATCTAGTTATCTCTTGAAAAAAAGTATTTTAAAAATAAGCGGTTTGCGATCGTGATTTTACTTTACTTGATAGGGAAAGGCGTATCGGCAACGCCGCAACAGCACACCGTCGCGCGTCGCGTCGGACGGACGCATTTCTCTCACTCCGACTTAATAAGATCCCTATGCGATTTACTTCCACACATGTAAATGCCGACCCAAAAGTAACAGTTGCCAGTACGGTATAATACTCGTAATATTCAGATTTCAGAATAACTGAACTGAAAATAATGGCTGTAAATTTAAAGAAGATACTTACTGATGCCGAGCAATCCCTTTTGGATGCTTCCAGAGAATTCCTTCTTGATGACTTGCTCGATATCTTTACCGCTCAACCTCTCGTATTCCGAAAAGGTGGCTCTCAATTGTTGGTAACTTCTGGTGATCAAAATGGAATTAAAGATGGATTCTTCTGTTCCCCATTTGCCTTCGCCGGCTTCGATGAGAGCTTCGGCATCGGCGAGAGCTTGTTGCTCATTTACACCTTGGTTCTCGTCACGGTTAGCCTAAAAGTGTATTAATATTTGTGTTATTTCTTTTTATAAAAGGCACAAAATAAATATAGTCTATCCAGCGAATATGATATTTGTAACCTGTCATTTTAAATTAAGAGTATTTTTTGTTTGTCTGGTTTTTTTTCTACAAGTTTTAGGAAAAACACATAAGTTATTCTACACTCACTGTCACGAAAAAAACGGGCACCTTAAAATTTTGATGTATCTTAAAGTTTAATATATTTTGTTCTAGTGGGCTAATTTTGATAATTTTTTAAGCGATTTGTAGCTAAATTATTTTACTTTTTAGTGTCTCTTTCTAAATTCAAAATGGAAGTTTCCATCTGTCAATTATACGAGGGAAAACAAAATGTTGATATTTTAGTGAAAGTTTAAAACACCCTGTGGAATATATCAACAAAGCAAGCACTTTAAAAATGATTTTATCGTCTAGGTACGTCTTTTCTCGATAGTTTGTTTTTTGATTCGTCTCAATAGCTTCATTTTTATTTGATATATTTGCTTTTTAATAAGACAGTAACGATTTACAGCAATTTTAGCATTTGCTTTTGGGTTATCACCACACTTACAAAATAGTTTTTATTGTTTTCGGAATGTCACTATCGTTGAAAAGTTATATTATGATTGTGTATTAACGTTTACTCTAGTAGAGATGGTTTTAAGTTCTGAAGTATCAGCTATTGCTGCTTTAATTGATCATTGTAGAGATCAACTTAAAACCATCTCTGCTAGAGTAACTTATACCTATATACAGGTTGTTAATTTGTTTATTACTCGCAGCAAGAGCTTTATGGTTGAAATATGGCAACCTCGACCCGCTCGTCGAGAGACGACGGTCGCGACGAACGGGACGAGTCGGCAGCTTAGCTTAGTACTCATTTGGAATGTAGGCAGTGTTGCCATTCTGTTCCCCAATAAGTAACCGTCCAGTAACAATCTGTATATAGCCTAGCAGGCAATAATAATATGATTTTTCAAATACAGTGACATTACATAAATCATAAACACTATTTTATTTTTGACTATGACCAAAAGCAAAGGCATAGTTTTGATTTAAAAAATACGAAAAAATATTAGTGTCTTCTTCAGAAGCAAATATATCCAAAAAAATAAAGCTAATGAGATGAACCAGAAAACAAACTACCGATAAAAGATACACCTAGATGATAAAATTATTTTTAAATTTTTTGCTACGTTAACGTACCTACTCCACAGAGTGTTTTAAATTTTCACCAAAATACTAATATTTTCTTTACCCTCGTATTATTAACAGATGTCTTTTTCATTTTTAATTTAAAAATAGATACTAAAAAGTCAAATAATTGGGCTATAAATTTCTTAAAAATACATCAAAATCGGTACACTACAATACAATATGTAAAACTATAAAATACATGAACATTTTAAGGTGCCCGTTTTTCGTGCCAATGAGTAATTTTTCTATAATAATAGTTTTTATCAGTCAGATAATTCTTGACACGAAAAAGGCTTAAACCGAAAGTATATTTTTTAGATATGTTTTTAAATATAGTAGCAAAATAAATAAGAGTTTTTGAAAACCCATAGCGCATTGTCATTTCTTTCTATTAAAATTTTTCATACGATTGTATAGTTAAATATTGTTAAAATTGAGATTGCAATAAATGCAATTGTAATAACAATTTAAAGTAACAACCTAAAATAAATTGCTTAGAATTGAACAATATTCACAATTTATACAGAGTGAGTCCTAAATAAGTGCACGTATTTTTAGGGGTGGTACATTTCGATCGAGAGCTATTAGATCTCGATAAAAGAAACATATTTTTTCTTTGCCGTTTTTCAAATAAGTCCAAAATAACCGAGTTATTTAACTTTGAAAATTAAAAAAAAGATTATTTTTCCTTAAATTTTGAGAACCAGTGGATATCTTTTCTGGGTTTTCTTTCTTGTAAATTTAATCTACTACACCTATGTTGGCATATTATCAATAATATATATATATTTTTTATGTAAATTGTATGTTTTTTAAACTAAAAACTAAAAAAAATTCCAAAATTATTTTAAAAAAATTCCAAATATTTTTTTTTGCGTGAGAAAAAACCTCATAGACGTGCTTATGGTTCGAAATATACTACCCCTAAAAATATTTGCACTTATTTAAGACTCACCCTGTCTAGTTACATTATTCTTCAAGATTTAAAAAAATAAATAATACAGTACAAATCAATAATCATTTTTAAATATGTAAACTGATACATATGTTAACATTTTCTGGTGATATTATGAGCGACATTTAAAGTTTAACCTGTTTTTATATCAATAATATATGATAATTTAAGTCATCTATGCTAAAGTCTATGCTTTATATAAGTAAATAATGTGAAAACTAGGTACCCAGGACACATTTCATTTTTATATTGGTAATTGATTGAGTAGGTACATTTAATCATACTAACCACCAAATTGACTAACTGTTGAGCTAATTAATGTGAATCATCTCGAATACAAGTATTCCATTGAGTCATACATTCCTGAACGTTAAAAGCCGTTATTATCAAAATTGTCTTTAATATTTTATTTTTGTCCATTTCTTATTGTTTCTATCTATATGTTGTTTCTTAACCTCAATGAAATTTTTATTACATTTTTTTACAATTCATAGGCTTTAAAATATTCATATAAATTAAAATGTACAATTTAAAAACTCGGATATACTCGTATATTAATTTATATTCAGAACACTCGTACTTTAGAAAGTGAAAGTACAACAAACAAATAATAGACACTATATAAATATTAATTATATTTTTACTTTTCTTAAATATTTTGTGTGGTAATAATGTTTAAACGTTTATAGGGCTTGGTACATTCTCCGCCGGTGCTGCCACCATCGGAGTATATCGTAAACAACTAGTATATACAAATACACAGGTTTAAATAGCGAGTATACGAAAAATGTATTATATAATTTTTCTAAACGTGTTAGGAAGTATAATTTGTGAAAATTCTAAAAATAAAAAAAGTATAAACTTTGATATCTTCAGAAGGTCTAACTTGTATTATAATTAATTATTCCAGCTAAAAATTTTTTTTAGATAAGTTCCACTACACTAGCGAGCATAATTTTTATCACCGGTTTTGCTAGTGGGTAATTGGGGCTATTTCGGCTAAAACGAAATTGTTTAAAGGCACATAATTATAATTTTAGAAGATGTTCATAAAACATTTAATCACTATATAGTTGACTAAAAAAAGTATACCATTAATATTGCAAATTATATTTTATTAATAAGCACTTTGTTTAGTCATTTGTTTCGTCGAACTGCTTGAATCCATTTTTGCTTTTGATGAAATCGGTGTGAGAAACTATGAAGGTATAAAATTTTGTTTCGGGAGCGTTTAATATCCGGGAAAGTTGACTTATTGAACGTTATTGCACCCAACATCGCCCTAATTACGCTCTCCTTTAGGCGTTACTATTTTTTCGCCAATTTTATTAACATTTGAAATTGTCACAAAACGACGCCTAGTTGGTTAGGTTAGAATTCTTTTTCACTTATTTTTAACTACCCGAAACAGCGTTACATCACACAGTTTCAATAACTGCACTATCAAAAAACTAAAATACTGAAATATTATGACAAAGCCACGATTTCAATATTATTTAATGCGATCAACAAGAACTGTAATCGGGACGGCGCGAAATACAAAACATGAAAAAAAACAAAAAAAAGAAAATTTTTGATTTCTGCCGTATACAGCGCTGCGGTGAGAATTTTTTGAAATCAACTGAAATGCACCAAACCTATAGAATGTTCAATATTTTCAATTTAAGAATACCTATGACTAGTATTTTATTTTTTGATATTTAAATAATTATAATTTTCTTCTACACTCAGCCAAAATCATATTACTCTTCTCAAGCTAAAATGCATTTTCTTACAAATAGACAACAAGATTTTCTTACCATACACACAAAATCATATATGATTTAACAGTATTTGTACTTGTTAAAGCTTCGTTCAAAACCTCGAAATTAATAAAATAAATTATTTGTTTCAATTAGCGTAGTACTGTGTTCCTCTAATTTCAATGTAAGCATTCAGAACGTCCAAAATTAGTGATAGTAATTTTCAATTAGTAGACAAAGTTAACCAACTTTTGCCACTAAGTTCCTTCAAAATTTGCGAGTTATGTCCTTTTGGACTCTGATTATCATCCGTTAGGAGAAATTGTGATTAGAAAAAAAAAGTTGATTGTTTTATAAGATAATTAGGCTTTCTATATGGTTACATCTGACTACTGCCAGCTGTTGTTAGGATATTCTATTAATTTTAATTGTATTTTGTAGATATTGTGAATGGTCGTAAATTTAAAAAAAAAGTATAAAGTATAATTGAAACCACTTATTTATTAACCACTTTCTGAGTGAGGTTTTAGTTATAATTTATATGACAAAATACAATAACAGAATTAAGAATAAGCTTACCTGAACTAAAGAAACTAGTAATCTCTTAAAATGTCCGGATGTGTCGTCTTTTAAATCTTTCTCCAGTGGTTTTCCATATACTAAAAATAAAGCAAATAACATTTTAGAACAATAGATACAAATAATTATTATAATCTTTATCAGATATATAATGAAGTAATGGCAAATAAGGATATTTACAGAAAAATAATAGTATTAGTAATAGTTGCAAATAAAAACGATACTAATCAATGATAATTGATTACAAAGTTGTTTACAATTTTTGAAGTAGTTTTACGCAGCAAAAGAAGTAGAAAAAAATTTGGTATGTAATATTGCGATTATAAACTTCTAAACATTGTAGTGATTAACCCCCCTCGCATACATTCCACATTCTATATTGAATTTTTACCCGGTAATATTGGACCATTCTGTATGTTCTTAATTTTTGGATCTTTCTCAGTATTTACATGTCATAAATAAATATGTACGTGTATTATATTTTATATAACAATATAAATATATATAGTTTACGATACTGTTAATACAACGAGTAAGCGATGATTCAACGGATAAAAATACATTTTATGATGTAGGTAGACTTTAATTAGTAGGTACATAATAAAAATGAAAAATATTATAAAAGTGATAACTGGTGCCTTGACTGACAAAATTAAACCTATATAAAATTACGGAGAATATATTTAAAAGCTACGAAACTACACCTAAAAACTATGAATGTTTATCTTTATTATGTCCCTATTGCGTGTAGGTAGACTTCTCTCTCATCAATAAATTAAACAAAATGTATCTATCAACCTTGACAATTCATCATAATCATAATATAAATATATGTAAATCTCGGACTAAAATATATTCTCTGCTGTTAAAGTATGTTTACAACATTGTACTACACATGAAAAAATGCTTTATTATGTATTAAAGCAAACGAATACATTTATTAAAAACGATAAATATTAAACATCTTAAAACAAAAGTCACCTAATACAAATTACAAATACAGTAAAAATAAAAACAAATAAATAAGAAATAAAACTAATAATTCAAAAAACACAATAAACTATAGATATCAGAACTTAAGTTATAATATAATATCAATTTTTATTTTAGTTTAGATGTTTATTATAATTAATCCTAGAAAAATATTGAAACTAATTAAATGAGCACAACATTGCAGACAATAATTATCTTTCATCACGTATGCCAATACCAATAAATAACATAAATAATTAAAGACTGGAATGTTAATATATGCATATACATAAATACAATATGGATAAACAATCTTCTAGAAATTTACATTACATTTTATAACTGTCGATAACTGGCCCGCTTGATCACATAATTTTATGAAGATCAAAAAACTCAAATATACACCAGAGGACAGGAGAGGAAAAATTGTCTTTTCCGCTGCGTATTAAAGACCTTTATAACAAAATATTTTCTCTAAGGAAAAGTTAAAATTACTATAGTTCTCAAAAATGTTGCTTAATTTTAAACACGCATCCCAAGCAACACCGTTCAAGAGTATATACGTTTAATAAACGTACTATCCGTATAAATATCGTATATTTTTTTAAAGGTATAAATAAAATACGTATTTCATATTACTTTTTTATATGCAACGTATAATATACGCATATTAAAGGGCTTTATTATCCGTTAATCTTAGTATATACGTTTATTATAGTGAATATTATTATACTGCTTTTTAACGTATATTCGAAACATATATTTTAAGTATATAATATTTCGATTTTGGCACCAAGTCAGTTATATTCGTAATTTTTGAAAAGTTCAGACACAAAGGGCATAATAAGTAATTATCAAACTGATTTTTTGCGATTTTTTGATAAATTTGAACTCCAATATAAAAATATTAAAAAGAACTGAATTTCAAAAACGTATATAACCAGTATCAATAAATTGTATAGAAATGGTATATAGACTACATATACCAAACGTTTATTCGACACTATAAAATCTGGTCACGTGACTAGATCTACCAACCATATCGTTAGACTTTTTGCAGCAGATGGAATCTAAATGGAATATGGCATACGTATATGAAACCTATACTCGACACTACAAAATCTTGTCACATGATCAAATCTACCCAATCACGTTGCGTCTTCTATGAAACATCTAGGTTCAGGGTATTCATAAGCGTGATCAAGGGTAAAGACGCCATTGTGTCCACACATTGTTTGTTTGATATCAATATAAGGTGCGTTATTTAATATAATACTTTTCCTAAAGACATAAATATGGTATATCCAGCTACTCCTTTTACACAATTTATAGTTCAATTGCAGAAGGAAGAGAAAGTACACTTAGGCTCTGTTACTTACGTATTACGCATTGTAGCGTTTTGAGGATTTTTTTTTCGTCATTTTTTTCCTTTGGAAACGTAATTGAGGGTAAGTTTTAAATTTATCAATAATTATAAGCTTTTATTTAACTTTACATGTACGTATTTATGTAAATTTTTATATGCATGAATATGTTCATGTTCAATGACAAGTTTTTGCAGTGCTGAGCATAGGTTTTGTAAACGTATACTGTATACCGTTTACATAACCCTGTTGCAAATTAAAAAAAAACAATTCGCGCAAACGCTTTTTTAAAAAACAGGCCTTTCTTAAACCAAAACTTTTTTTATTACTGTTAGTACATGGATTAAATAAAAACTTGTTGTTAGGAAGTTATTTATTACACCCTATCAGTAATTGTATAATATATCGTTTGTCCTTTCTCCATTTTTTAGAAGCTGTCAAACTTTCTTATTCTGTTAGACAACTGGATTGATTTAAACGATTTTGTATAATAATATACTTCTCGTATAACAGAGAAAAAATGTGAACGTATGTATATATTCTTTATATTTTATGTTTAGTTATATTTATACATTGTCAGTTTTCTTATTAAGAATTATGATATGTTTTGTTTATTTTTATTTCAGTAATGTACGGTATATGTCTCCAATTTTTAAGAAGTTATTAAAGAAGATTTCTAATTAAGTTTTTTATACTTATTCATTAAAAATCCTACCATTAATCATAAAAAATGTATTAGCAAATTAAATTTAGTAATTTAACCACCTATAGCATTATTGTTTTTATTAATAGGAAGAATTTTTGAAGCAGTAAAAACAAACTTTTTAATTTATTTTAGGTTACTGAAAGAGTGCAATATTATGTTATATAAAGGGGTTATAGGGTATAATTTATGATTTATGTCACCATTATGTAGCATTTCTTAAGTAACCTAAGGTTTGTTTATACTGGTTCAAAAACCCTTCATATTAATGAAAAACAATAATGCTAGGTGGTTATATTACTAAATTTCATTTCCTGGATGCGTATAAATGTGTACGTAAAAATAATATTTAATAAACGGTTCTGTTTCGCGTATAAATTTATAAAGAAAAATAACATTTAATACACCTATTTGGTCTACGTGTAATCCTAGTATATCATAAATTGCTAATATACGTTTACCATCTTGTATAATATTGGTATATGTATATACGATTATAAAAGGAATAGAGAAACCTGAAATATATACGCTGAAGTCGCGGACATTTTGCAGTTTATTATAGGTTTCACATTCTTTGTCGTATACCTAGATAAGACGGACGGTATTAGATCAGTTTAAACGTATAATATACCATTGTGTGTTGCTTGGGATGTCTCAAACTCAAAAATAATCTTACGTTTTAAGAGATTGCTATAAAATTGTCAAAATCAAACCAAAGCATCAGAGCATATCAATGTCATCAGGCCACGAAAGGTAAGTTCGTATTAAAAGAAATTGGGTATAGTCTGCCCAACAAGAAAATCTATGACGATGACAGTTGTGTCTTTTCTCAGTACACAATATAAACTCTACTTTTAGACGTAAAGAATCAAAAATATTAAATTTCTCATGATTAATTATTTAAAAATAACGGTACAGATTTTGTAGGCCAAGGAAACGCTAATGCCTCAAGTAAAAAGAACCAGATAGATATTAAAATTCCAAGCATACATAACTCAAACATATCAAGCCGCCTTATACAACTGATAGAGATCTTAAGCCATAATAAATAAACAAATACTTACTTTGTTCGTAGAATTGGGCAATAGTTCTAATACCATAGTTGGACAGAGTGCAGAGGATTTCGATGATTGCTTCTTCATCGGTACCCAATCCAGCGACAGCGTCGTGGAGTTCTTTGGCATAAAATTGGGGTAATGGGGTCATGAGGGCTACAATGACATCTTCGAATTTGCCACCGAGTTCGCTCTTAAGTTCGGAGATTAAGTCTTTTCCGTAAGATGTCTAAAAAATTGTAAAAATTACAATAACAAGCCCAGTAGTAATTAGTTACAATACATTAGGAAAACAACAAGTACAACCTTATTATTCGTCGTAATCAAGAGAAAATTACTGAAAATGTGTTAAAAAAAGTGATGATTACTCTATATCTTAACAAATCAGAAAAGAATGTAAGACAATGATAAATTCACTCAAAAATCCTGTTCTCCATATAAATTGCTATAAGTATAGATGGCTGTTTAAATTATTAAGTTATTTGTTGTTATTTAGACATTATTTAAAAGTTGTCGCAGTCTAATAAATACACTTAAAAATATTCTGATGCATTCGAATCCTTTTGTAAAGCCTAAACAAAAAAAACCGGTTTATTTACATTTCAATGAAATTATGTCATTTGCTTTAACGCAAAAAATATCACGTGCAGTGCTAGAAGGTAAAAAGAAATTAGAAAAAGAGTTTTAAGCACAAAAAGTTACAGGCACAATTATTGATTATACCAGTCCTACATTGCATTGGCATAGTGCATCAATTTATTCTCAAAATTTATTTTATAACGTAGAGCAGTAGTCTTGGTACTTTTTATGGGAACACCATTTATTAAAAAAGAAATTCTGAGATTTCAAAACAAAAAGTTGCAAATAATATCTATATCATTAAAGAGTTGCCCTAAAAGTCCAATAAATCAAGGTTAACACCACGGCTTAATTTGTCGACCCAGACTTTTTCCTAATTACTAACAAAAATGGTGATTATCATTTTTTACATAGAATTAGTTTTTTTTCGAGATATTACGCCTCGAAAATCCCTGATTTTCTCTCCAAGTCTTAACGCTCCGAAGATAGATTTCATAAGCATGATTGATAGGACAAATTGTTTAATAACTAGACTAAAATTTAATAATTCTTGATGATTCAAAGTTCATTTAAAAGGTAACAAATTTTGAGAGCTATCACATTTTAGAACATATTTACTTCTACCTTTACGTTTGAAGGAAATACTTCATTTTTATAAATACGGCCTAGTCATACACAATTTTATAAGTCCCTTCCACAGCCCCTAGCCTAGACCATCAAGGGTTGCTGATATTTCAGACCAAATGGGGAAGGTAGTCCATTATATCCGGGAAAATGGACAGGAACAATATACTTCTGAAAGAGTTGCACGATATTGCAAGTAATTTTGAACTTTTATCATTGATTTCCAACTCATTGATGTTTGTTACTTATGCAATTTTCTTTTGTTTACGACACTTCCCGGAAATTCCAAAAAGCGGAAAAAACCACTCACAAATAGTTGTTTTTTATTAAAATGTGCTTAAACAAATACTTCAAACTTTGAGTTGCTTAAAGAGCTTGCTTCTTTTTCTTTCAACTACAGATCTTTATCTTTTATCTTTATATCAATTTACAATTTTAATTCCTAGAAATCATTCAGTGTTTTGGGAAATTACAAATCGTTTCTATTTCCATAATATCTTTTTTATAAACTGCGGTCAACTGTATAGTGATACGAGTAAAGAATTAAAAAATATATAATGGAAGCCTTTTTATAGTGCTTCGATTGGTACTGAGGTTACGTGGAATACAATTTGAATACCTTTGAAATTAGCTCTAATTTTCAGAAAATTTCTGTGCAAAAATTTCAAAACCTGACTCAAATAGTTATATTTTTTGTGATTACTCTAGGCAACAATAAAATATAACTAGACAATAATAGGTGGGCGATAAAAGGAAACAAGCGCCATGCTTGTAGGCGAATAAGTTAATAAATGTTAAAGTGGGTGGTAGAGTGTTTACTAATCGCGTCTAGAACCTAGACTCTCTTGAGTCTCTTATGTATATTTAAGAATTAATAACAGAATAACCAATAAGATCTCAAGACCAGGTGGCTAAGAAGTAAAGAGTATTTATCAGAATATTTAGTGTTGAATAAACAAATAATATATGGAGCAATATTACTTAATGTTTCCAATTTATAATATATCAAATAATATGTTCTCTAACAATGTATAAATTATGTATTATTGCATTAATTAAAATGTATTAATATTTCGTTCAGATTCAATACAGGGTGAGTCTTAAATAAGTGCAAATATTTTCAAGGATGGTATATTTCGACCCCAGGAACACGTCTATTAGGTTTTTTTGCAAAAAAAAGATGTTGAAAATCGTGCATTTTCTTTTAAATTTCCCTGTATATTTTTCGAAAACATTTTGCAACTGCCTGTTGACCGTTAAAAATTTTTTTCACACGGTATTATAATTTCTTAATCTCTGATATTACCATAGTTACAGCTTTACTCTATGGTTACGACACTAAAAGGGATGCAATTACAGAAAAAAATCCGGTGGCTCTCAAAATTTTTTCAAAAAAAAATCATTTTTTTTTTACATTTTCAAACTTAAATAACTCGGTTATTTTGGACTTATCTCAAAAATGGCAATTTCTTTTATCGAGATCTACCAACCCTGAAAATATTTGCACTTATTTAAGTCTCACCCTGTATAACTACAAAACGTCCGAAAAAGAAAACGTCGCGTCGGTCGGCAGAATTGGCTGGGAAATGAAGATCGCTGTCATAATTTATGTAAAATTATATGGAAAATGTTGTTGATCGTACAGGCCAACTGGACGGTTTTTTCGATTATACGGGCTTTTACCAGTGACGTAAAAAAACTACCCTTACATTTCTGACAATAACATTTTGTTCCAATTAGAATTCTGAAAACATAATTATAATTTTATAACGGAATGCTGCATGGGATGATACATGTAGTAATTATCAATATTGTAAATTCAGTCGTTGCTTAGAATGCAAAACTTATTCATCACTTATGAAACATATTTCTTTATGTTTACCCATTACCCATTACGTACGGAATAGATTCTTATAAGAATGAATAGTGCTATTAGTAGTTAGCAACAGTCATAAAAATAATTTATTCAGAAATGCAAGTTCTAAAAATATGTTTCAAATAAAGATTACTTCCGACCTTGTTTATATTCCCTCAACATTGGTACAAATATTTTGCAAATTTAGTTTAAACGTGGTCTAAACAAAGACCTAAAAATACGGGTTTTAATTTTATTACAAGCAAATGAAATATATGTAACATAAAATGTCTTTATTCCTTATTAATTATAATCATATAGTCGTACTTATATTTTGTTTATTAATTTTATAAAATAAATTATGAATTATTATTTAAATCCTATAAATATTGTTACTAAGATAGTACTGATCTTTTTGGTCCCATAACAGCAATTTCACACTTACGTTGATAATTTACACTATCATTAAGATATATGATGTTTTCTAGTTTATATTACCCAATGTAAACGAATAAATGCAAAAAAATCTGGATGATTCCATTCTTTCCCATAACAGCAATTTCACACTTACATTGATCATTTACACTATCATTAAGATATATGATGTTTTCTAGTTTATATTACCCAATGTAAACGAATAAATGCAAAAAAATCTGGATGATTCCATTCTTAAAAATAAGGAATATAATATTTTTTATTTTTTTATCACCCAACTGATGTTAGAACAAAAAAAATCTAGCTTAAAAGTTCATACTAAATATACTTTTTTTAGCCTGTCTACATTTTAAACTGCACTTGATCTAGTACCTATATGACGTTACACTTTTTGTATGTAGAACATGATTGGGCAAATTGAGATTGAGATGTATATTGCGATTTTGGTTCATCCTGTTCATGTATAAGCAAATGTTATGCAGGAAGACTCCAAATCGAAAAATTTTATATAAAAAACCTTTATATGTCAAAAATCACTTATTCGCAATAACACCATGTATATTTAAAATTATCTTCTATGAAGAAAAAAATAATTAATTTTTTCTATCTACAGCACTTCTTCAGCAGAATCACTGCTGTATGTTATTATGTTATTACTCTTTTTTGAAAATTTAAAAGAAAGTCTTTCAAAAATTTTCATAAAAATATGTAGAACAGCCCCAAAGCGCGAATTAAACAGGATTCAAAGTATTGTAAAAAATAACAATTATTGATAAAATAAAAATTGGAACTTAACCTTCGCAAAGAATAAGGGTCAAGTTTCATTTAGCCGAAATCTGTAAAAAAAGAAATTGTCATTTAGGTACCTCAGGGAGTATATTACTGAAAAAAATTTGCCGCGGATATGCCTCACCATTTTTTGAATGCGGTTTAAAAGTAACGAAATGACATACATGAATAAATAATGTTATTTCGTATTTTAGACGTCTTTGTAACTACTAATACGAAAATGAAATTCCGCGGAAATGCGCTGTTGCCATTGTTTGAATACGGTTTAGAAGTAACGAAATGAGATATATAAAAAATTAATATTATTTTATATTGTAAACTTATTTTTAAGCACCTTTTCAAAAATGAATATCCGCGGAAATGTGTTGTTTCACCACTATGCAGTGATCTTCTTCCCGACCTTTGACACATATCAATGAATAATATCTATTCTTATCAACTTAATATCGCTATGGTCAATAAAAGCGAAAATTAAAAAAAAATTGTCATTAAAGCATAAAAACGACAACTAAACCAAACCAAACCCTAGTAAAGCAACCAAACCAAACCAAACCAACAAAACCCACTACAATCAAACCAACAAAGACCAAACCGAAAGTATGTAAAAAAGTTGAGAATACTATGGAAAACTTCGAAATATTGAAGGTTTTCCATTACACCGCCCTTATGATAAATTTCCGCGGAAATAGTTATATAGAAAAATTATAGCAAATTATAAATCAAACAAAAATATGTAGTTTTTATCTTCCTATCAAATTTCGGCACTTCTAAACGCGGAAAAATCGATGAAAATTATTGTGATAAAAATATATTTTCGAATAAAAATTAGTTCACATCGTTATATTAAATGTTTTTACGTCATTCTATAATAAATAAAAAACTATTAAAGACACCGTAAAGTTTTAAATTTTAGTTAATAATAGAAAATTAAAAATTCGAGTTTTCTCAAAAACAATGAATTTCCGCGGCAAAAATTAAATTATGTACTGCTAGTTTTCTTGTATAGAATCATCCTATAAACCGATATTCTATGTAACTGATTTCGGCTAAACGAAAACTTGAACCAAAAATAATAATGCAATAATGATTCAGCAACCAAAAATCTATACTTTGCCCTATTACTGAACTGTCTTGCTTATTAAACAAATAACAAATTAATAGCAATGCAGACAGGATATTATAAAATGCATTGGACGTGCCTATTATGTATTAGTTTTGTAATATGGTGAAAGAAGATTGCATACCTTAAAAGTTTCAGCGATTTCTAAACGCTGCACAATACCCCTTCTGGCCAAGACATCGATGATGGCTTTCTCATCGGCGCCAAAGCCTTTCATGGCTTTTTTTAAGGTGGCGGCATCGGCAACAGGGTCGAAGGGATCTGCTGGGTAGACAGTTGGGGTACACTAAAAGAAAAAAAACAATAAATTGAAAATCAAATAATATAGTTTGCGTATCTACATTGTTATACAAATCCCTTAAATTTAGGAATGTATTAAGAGTAGAATTTCTGGATCGGTCTAATAAAGAAACATAAATAGATATAGATAAGTAATCGCTAGAACATTAGCGAACTCTAGATATATTTAATATTTGTTTTAAAAATCTAATGAGTTTTTTTATATGTAACCATCACGCTTTGTCTGTGATTCCGTCACTCAAATCATATTTAAGCATGAGCTATCATATCTACATATATAAAATGCTAATGTTTATCTGTGTCGTCGAAAGTTGCTTTTTTTACTAAAAGATACCTAATTGGCTGTTCTAAAAACTGTCGTCGCTGGATTTTTTGTTTTTCAGAATTTTAAAAAAAGAAAAAGTATTTTTTTTTTCCTGATGTCCTGGCAGATGCGCCAGGCTTCAACTAGTTTGAAATAAACTAATAAAGTTGCATAAAAACATAGACGAACGTAGAAACATAGATGAAGGCGTCTATTATATCCCATGATAAGGATGCATGTAAACTCACTCTTTACAGGACCCTTAGCACATTTACAGATGCAAACACAGCAAAAAAAATTATAATAACATGACCAGTTAAGAGTTTTTTCATCTTTTGTAGTCTGATGACAGTGATGACTAATAAATTTGCGTTTAAATAGCTAGTAAAACATCGTTTATTTAATTTTAAACTTATGGCATTTTGCAAATTAAAAATATAAATAAAGAGAATTCTATAGGTTCTTTATTTTCTTAGCAACGTTGGTAACGATATTTTCAGAGGTAGACGTAAAAATGTATTAAAAAAGAAGTTATTTATTTGCAGTTGATAACTTCATGGTATTCATCTTTGTATCTAATAATTAGAATAGTTTTATAATCATTTTTAATGACCTTAACAATTCAGTCAAGTTGATTTTTGTCTTTTTTTGTAGTAAATCCAAACATTTAGTAAAATAAAATGTGTATATTTTGCTTTGTCAACATTAGCCTTTTGTATTTTGACTAATAAATCCAATCGAAATAAGCGAAAAAATGACAAAAATGATAAATAGATACCTAAATATAATCAACCACTACCACTACTGTTGGAAAATGTTCTGAAATATTGTTTCCTTTCCTGTAGCATCTTGAGATCCAAGAAATAAGAATGCAGTTAATTTAATTTTTATGTTGACAGATTTTTTTTCGGAATGGTTCCACTACATTTTTTAAGTCTTTTAAAAAGTTTCAGAAGAAAGTGCTAAACATAATAATTAAACTTGGTTCATGAAGACTTTTAAGAATACTTATATTGAAAGGGAAAAGAAATGCTAACATCCTCTAAAATCGAAAAAAAAGCATGATGTTTATTTCAAGGAATTCCAACTAAATCATTTCCCGATATAACTTATTTATAACTTCGTTGGAATGGAGCCAGATTGTCAAAACATCTCCATTTATTGCCGAAAAATTAATTCATTTCATCATTTTTATATTTTAAAGTTATATTATAAAACATTCCGATATAAATACAGTTTTAAATAAAACCGTAGGAGGATTTTTAATAGAGATAAAACGGACTTTAACACACACAGTTCTTTAGTAATGGCTAAAAATAACTACCTCCATAGCCTGACCAATAATGAATGAGAAAACCAACGTGACCGATATTTATCCCAGAACAGAATTAATTATAAAATACGTAATAGTTCAATAAAAGAACTCACCGTCATAATGAACGAATTAATGGGTTTTGGAGAGTCATTGGCGTGTACTACAGGGACGGGGCGGTTATTGTTTGAGGTGGTATAATATAAAACTAGAGAGCAATAGAATCAAAAAACTAGGAGGAATAGGACTATTAACACTTATTCATAATTCCTTTACAATTACACATTCATTTTGATGCGCTCATGGCTTTTGGCCTGGTAAACGTGTTTGTATAAGGATCAATTTATATTGTAATTGTGGTTCACCCTGTACAATAACGTAGCATTGCAAGGAAACTCGATTTTTGACCTACAGAATTTTTTCGCACTTATTTACTTACACATAGTAATAAGCAATTGTTTATTGTAAGTACAGGTACCGAAATGTTGCAAAAATTAAATCCATGTCTCATTAATCTGAGCTATTAAAGCCATTAGAGCACCTTGTCGAGAAAGGTCACATATTTAATCTATTTTTAAACAACTGTTTAGAGACAAGAAGCATTTTCTTGTTGTTTTAGTTGTTTACGGTTTTAAAATAGTCGATGCCGAAATCTCTGAACAATTCCATGACTAACAGACAACCAACGTTCGAAGGTCACAAAATGATTCAAGACCGAAGAGATCACGTTCTTCTTTCATAATCGTACACAGGATTTAAATAATTCCGAAATAGAATGCAATTAATGTACTAATGTTGTTTTAGCGTCTAGCCTCGACCTTGAGAAAGCCTGAAAATAAGCTCAAGGAACCCAGCTCTAAAAACAATTACGATAGACATAATATTACAAGAATATAGTACCACAACATTGTATATTTACTGGTCTAGACCAAAATATGTATGTATATTAGATATGTGTGCTATTTCGGAAAAATGAATTTATTTATTTTAAAAACACCTGTAGATTTTTCTCTGTTGAAAATATCATTTAACAAACATTAAGCCGTATATATTATGTGTATTAAATAGCCCATATTCTAAATATAACTATGATGCATTAAAAATTATCATGATTAACGAATTAGTCAGACAGCCCTAAATGATATATTAAGGGTAACATCACAGCCTATTCATAACCAGCCTGCCGACTTACGATTATTTCTATGAAAATTTGAACACCTAGATATTCGCTTATACCGTATGATCGAAAAAAAAACGGCGTCCAGTTGGCTGGGAAATGACAATCGATGACATTTCCCATATAAAATGACAGCGATCTTCATTTCATAGCCTCGCTGACGCCGTTTTTTTTCGATCATACGGTATTATGTTATGAACCAAGCCAAGTTCTGTAAAACTCTGGACCAATTTAAGGTTAAGTAAATCCTCTACTTAAGAAGCAGATAGAGGCACAGGCTCTAAAGAACCTAATCCTAAAACAAGAATAAAGTCCGGATTACAACAGTTCTCTTGAGAAGAGATATGGCCTGTCAAGTGTTACTTGAACAAGCTCAACCTGTGTCAAGGAAGTCTTTGCAGCAAACTCCGCAATAAAGATCCTGAATTAGGGCACATAATATGTCACTGCGAGGCTCTAGATAGCAAGCGACTATTTGGAAGAGCCAGGCTAGAACCGGAAGAATTATGCTCCCATCCTTTGAAGGACTTGCACATGGGCTCTAGAATAGAAGATTGGGTGCAGGTATGCAGGTGCAGAAAGGGGACAAACATAATAGGCCTTCCAGGTCTTAAAGTTTCTGGCATTGAGAAAAAAAACGCGTTCTGAACAGCTCTAACACGCAAACACTGAAAAAAGCAAAGATAACTAACTGCCACTGAATAAGTTGTGATACTGTGTAAACAGTAACAAGAGTATTAATCTATAAAATTGTGGAGAAATAGAGTTTCCATTTCCCTACAGTATATTAGGTACATAAAAAGAGCGATAAAAGAATCTAATACTTTTCATAATAAATTATGCTTTATTCGAATGCTATAAAATTGATCAAAAATAATAACTATTGCAGGCATAATGATTACTACCATTTATAAAAGTGAGTATCTATATCTGAAAAAGATGATTATATTTTGGAGTTATTTTTCTTATGTTTTATTGTCCATTTGGTCTTTTTATGTGTGATTTTTTTTGAATTTTGTTGTATAAAATGTATAGAAATATTTCCTTCCATCCTGAGCAGTACGTCTGGTAAAGGCATTTGCTATAAAATATTATTTTACAATAAATTCCTTCAGGGCTCAACCCTGATCTAATATATAGGTTTGGTGCCACAATGTCTCGCCTCCATATCGAACGTCTTAAACATTCCCTGCCTGCCCAACCTACTTGACTATGTCGAATCGATAACAAGATATCCCTGTTTCGTTTATTATTTTTTATTACCATAGAAACGTTTGTAAATATATTTTTTCTGTCTAAAAATTGAATTTATGGTGCTAACAGTTAAGTAACTAAAAAGGGTGTAATTATTAGTATTTTAATAATTAATTAATAAATCACAAAATTTGAGTATTTAATATAATTGATCAAATTTATATCTGTTGCATTTTTTCTTCAGATATAGGCTGATTTATTAATATCTAATGAAATTTCATCAAGAAACACAATGTAGAGGCATTTTCTTATGTATCATAATGTAATAATCCGCAGTTTAGTATAATATTATTACAATAATTTGTCTTTTTAATTATTTTTTTATTTGATCTCTGAACAAAAATATACTATAATTATTTGTTCTGTATTTATATGCAAAAGCCACTATGAGCAATGATGCATCTAGGGTTTGACTCTCTGGAAGAGGTAGTGCAATATTTCGATAAAGTTCCAACCTAACCTAACCAGGTTTAAATAAATTTTTGCTGAAAAGTATTAATTGTGAGAGTGGAAAAAGAACTTGGATTGGTCTGGATTTTGTATCTTGATGACGATTATTAATTTCTTTTGGGACATTTTTATTTTATACTACATTTTATCTGACTTATAAATGTCTTCCTGGAAGGGGTAATTAAAAAACTTTACCCCTCCCGTATCCTCTGAGTTCAATTAAACTAAACATGTAATTACGTCATATACATGTCGTCAGGTAGTCAGTGACACATTTAGTGACGTAATAACGCCAATTTAGTTCAATAAGTACAATGAACAAAAAAACGGCGTCAGCGATGGCTATGAAATGAAGATTACTGTCATTTTTATAAAAAAATATATGGGGAATATCATCGATTATTCTCCAAGTCAACTGGCCACCTTTTTTTCGATCATACGGTACTATCCTTGTATACCTATGTATAACAGAAGGGTACTATCATTTTCAAAGCCTACAAGGTTGGCCGAAAGAAATTTTGTTAAGATGTATTTCTATATTGTATCAAACATTAACCATAAGTGATAAAAAATAAAAACTCCAATATTGGGTACGTCTCAAGAGAATCACCACTGTAACTTTTTTAATTTTTCAGATAAAAAAACGAGATTTAGTATGAGAGTATGACATAAATTAGGATTAATTGACGAATTCAATTGTTTTCGAGTGTCATTTTCTATCGAATAAAGTAAAAAAATACCGAGGGTGCCACGTAAAAATCAAAAGTTCATTTCCGGTGAAACAGGAAGTGACCGAAAACAATTGATTACGTCAATCAATTTTAAATTATGTCGTATACTAACATACCAAATCCCGTTTTTATCTGAAAAAAATTAAAATATTATAGGGGTGAGCCACTTTTGAGATGCACCCGGTATATAAGAATCTCGATAAAAATAATTGTTTATAAAATTAACTGTTTTAAAAGGATTGCAATAAACTGCGGTTACTATCAGGTTGTGATAAATTAGCAAACGCTTGAAGACGTTTTAAATATATACTTAATGTTTTAGATGTACTATATATATACATTATATTCAGAATAAGATTTGCTTTGCTGTCATTAAAAAATTATCATTAACTAGTTGAAGCCTGGCGCATCCGCCACGACATCAGGAAAAAAACTTTTTTTTAATTAAATGAAAAACAAAAAAATCCGGCGACGACAGTTTTTAGAAGAGCCAATTAGATATCTTTTAGTAAAAAAAGCAACTTCTAGAGCAAGTCGTTACTTCAGTAGAGACGACACAGATAAACATTAGCATTTTGTAGATGTTTGAACCATTACCTATTTTAGATTCCTAAAGTACCAAATTCACAAGGCAAAAGATGCTGAAACTAATTACAATTACAGATGTTATCTGTGCTGCAATATTCCATGCAAGCATATCTATTAAAAGTATCTTTTAATATATTTATAGATTATTTCTTTTTTTATTTTGAACACTTTTAAAATTTAGCATACTTTCTACAAAATCTGAATTAAATTTACCTATATCTATTTTTTTAGATAGAAATATTTAGCAGTAAAATATTCCTTTTTACAAATTGATATGAAAACATGAGTTTAATATTTAACAAGTAATTATCCAGAAGTCATGGCAACATCGATATAATTAACTAATTAAAAATTTATTTTTGCTTGTTCTATTATCATCTGCCTTAAAGTTCAACAGGATAACATATTAATATTTTATGTCAATATAAAACACAAAATTTGTCAGTAGCTACCATTTTTTTTTTTTCATTTAAGAATTTCAAAAACTCCTTCTGGAAATCGTATGATAATTTGACGGTAAAAAATATTTATAGAATATTTCTAAATATATCCTCCACTGGAATCAATCTATTGAAATAGTTTCGCTCTTTTTTTAGCCCAATATGTTATTATATTATACGTATACGTGTTTTTTTATTAGTAGTTTAATACAATATTTTAAAAAAACGATTAAAATATACAACGAAAAACTTACCTTGAATGGGTAATATTGTTGGTTACTCATGATGGTTCACTTAGATTCTACAAAAACAACAAAAAATACACTTAAATTAATTCGATAAATTAAAGAATACAGGTACAGATCTAACTTCAGTCAACAAATAATCAGTCTCAACTAAATCTGACTGGTAAATGTTTAAGAATATATTTATGTAGATATTCCATATAAAACAGCATGACATCATCGTTTTAAATAAGCATTACCTTGCATTCGTCAACAACAAACAATTCAAAGAACCAAACAGAATTCCATATTATTCAATGATTAGTGTAGCGTAGAACCGAGTTACTCATATTAGTTAGTTAATTCCGCTATATTTCTTATTTGATAAGAGTAATCATACGTTAAATGGGTCGAAAGACCGGTAAAAGATATTTTTATACTATGATAGAAAGTATGATATTATAAAAGCTGTCGATAAAATAACAGTAACGTTCAGAAAATTAAAATTAATTATTCTTTCACCAAAAATATATAAGGGTAAGATCTAGGTCACTAAAAATAATTCCCTCATTATATAGATTTTCTTAGGACCCGGCATTTAAGTCAATATAACCAGTTTACTACGATAATAAACCGATTTATTTAGCATTAATCGATTATTTGCATTAAATTATCGATAATCTGCTCAGATAGATAATTTAAGTGTAAAAGATAAGAGAAAAATCAGGGATTTTCTTACCTTCTGTTGTAAAAAAAACTAATTGTATGTCACACCCACAGAGGCTACAGAATTTCTGCTCCTGCTATCTGCAGTGCGCGAGCGCTAAAACCTGCTGTCTTGAATTTATCCGCCTCGGTTGCAGTAAAACATGGACATTGGCGTACGAAAATAACTTCTTTTAGAAAGAGCGGTAAAAAAATACAAAGTCTATATACATATCTATGGATATATTCAGTTCTGGTTATCTCATGACATAAATAATTTATTTTCATTGAATTAAATATTATTTTTATATTTTATCTATTTTTATTGGATATAAAAAATTAATACATGTGAACTAGTCCTTTGTGTACCGCCGATGTATGTTACGGTCCATGTACACATAATTATGCTATGAGAAATTTAATTTTAATTGAATGCTTTTCTAGTATTACAAACTTATTTGAAAATAAATAGCAGAAAGATTTTGTTTTTCATTCTATAGACACTATTATTTCTAATAATAGTTTTTAATGCCATCATGAGTAAATTTTCATCATCATCTACATATGTGTGTATATAGAGGATGTCCCATTTTCGTTTATTTTATGGGGTATCTCGTTTATGAGTAGGGATACAAACAAAGATGCGATTTTTACATCAGTTTGCTTCTTCTTTAGGAAACTATAAGTATGCCGCACACCTTTCCGCACACAGATTTGTCGTAGCCCCCTTGGATTCTGTAATACAGGGCGAATTTGAAAATGTTGCATTTTTCGACTCTCTTCCTTACCAAGCAAAAAACCTCACATTACATTTGCAACATTGCAGTCAATTCCCAAACAGTTTGCTTTGTAATGTTGATTTCTAAACGTTGTGTCGTGATTGATGAAACCTTGCTACAGAAACATTGTTTTTGAATGGTGATTGGTGATTAAAACGTTTTTTCTGCAACATTGCAACAAAGATTCAAATGAATGATCCGCGAAGTTAATAATAATTAATAATATAACAAATATACCATAGAATGGAAAAAAACGGCGTCTAGTTGGCTTGGAAATGAATATCGATGACATTCCCCATATAAAATGACAGCGATTTTCTTTTCATAGCCATCGCTGACGTCTTTTTTTTCGATCATACGGTATAAGAAGTTAAGTTAGGTTAACGCACTTGTTTTTTTACGTTTCTGGATGGTTTCTGGTATCACATTATATGCTTTTCGAATGAGATTTTAATGAATCTAAATTAAGTATAATTTTATTATTATGTGTGTTTTAATAATACTTAGCCATGAATAAGTATAACAAATTTTGGAAATTTTGTTTAGTTTAGTTTGCTTTTAAGCTAAATTTTATGTTTTAGGTTAGCTCTTAGCCAACTGAAAATTGAAGTAGATAAAATCAGGATACGAGTATATCAATCTAATGATAAAACCACAAATAATATTCAGTATTAATTATTCTCAATAATATTTTTTTATGATGTTATAATCATTTGAAATTTTTAAAATAAGGACATAAAGGGGCCTCAAAGATTACTGTCACAAGAGGTAACTTTCTCATTGCTCTCTATTTATTTATTACAACTGATTGTTTTTATTTTTACTACTTTAGAAATGATTGGATATAGATTTCAAAACTTTACCGAAGAGGAATTTGAAACCATAAATAAGACAATTCAACATGCGAAGACAAAATATGAAAGATCCAAAGATCAATTAAAATATAAGTTTGCTTTTCCTTCTACATACATTTAATGTTATACTTTCCTTTTGTATTTTTGAATAAGAAATATAAAATACCTAATGTTTATACTGTAGGTACCTATATATTTTGTATTATTTCAGACATTCAACTTTAAGATTTTTTTTAGAAATTCGACTCGGAGGTCAGAGTTGAGTAATTCCTTATTTAATGAGCAGTTGAAAAGATCCTCAGTACTTGACAGTATTTTTGATATTTCTGAAACAAATTTCTGGTGTTTCCCCATTTTTCCCACAGAATCTACATTCGCCGTTGTTTCTCAGCTTCAGCCTACTGAGGTGTTCGTGAGACAGTGTCCTGCTCGGTGTCCTGTTAGAAACCCCGCGACAATCCAAAGATTGTTTTTACTTAAATCAAGAAAAATCTTTGATTTTTCTCGGTCGTAAGTTCTGAGAAACTTTTTCGAGTGTCTTAGACCGTTGGAGGATACCTATTCCAGATTACGGATGGAGTCTTCCAGATTTTTCAGTTCCGCTTTCACTTGGTTCCCGCTTGGAAAACAGAACGATTCTGGTCCAGTTAGTGGAGTGTTCGCTCCTTTTCTAGCTAGATCATTTCATTCTTTGACCAACTTCGAATTGATGGTTACTGAGTTGATCGCGTTTGGTGTTGCTTGACTATCGGATAATATGGATATTTCCTGTTTTCGATAGTTCCTATCTAAGATAAATTGTACGCATCTTGTGATAGCGTAAATTTATGCCTGAAGGATGCTGAGGTAGGTGCCCATTGGTTCGGTATATTTAGTTTTAAATACAAATACTCCTATCCAATAGATCTTTAAAGTCGCAGTGATTAACCCCCCCCCCTCTTACTCATTACTACTCATCCCTGTCCCTGCTTTGGTTTTGGAAGCATCAGTATACCACGTTATGGTATTGTCTTTTACATACTGAGCAAACGTTTCTTCCTTCCAATAATCCTTTTTATTACTCAATACTACAGTGAGGTGTTTCTCAAAGTTATAAATTCTTGGTATGTCATCCACTGGAAGTTGGAGAAGTGGAATTTTCTTTTCGAGGGTCTTCCAAGCCCCTGACCTGAAAATTCTCCCATTACTCTTTCCGTCAATGACCATTCTAATCATTGTCGCATTGGCATAACTACCTTAGATAACTACCAACGACAATATGCAGTGGTGTTAGGTCTAGAATGTCCTCCATTGCTGCTGTTGGACATGTTCTCATGGCACCTGTGATGCAGATACATGCCAGTCTCTGTACTTTGCACAGGTTTTGACTTGATGTACGTTGCTCTAGTTTTGTGTACGAAGCAACTGCCCCATATAGGTAATCATGGGTCTTACTGTCATGGTATACATCCGGCGCAAAACGTTAGCTATTTCCCGCCGATCTTCTGAATATCATGAGAGCCTTTGTGGCTTTGCTGGTAGTGTTCTTGATATGCCTTATATAATATAAATTGTGTTTAAATAAATTAGACTTTTTATCCACACGGAACCGACGAAAAATGTAAAGCCTTGGTTTCATACGAAACAAAATTGTTGTGGTGTGCAATCAAAATATATTAATGTAATTATAGTTCTAAGATACAAAATAAACTACCAAAACTTAATTTTTTTACACACATATATTTTTTATGCACCAAAAAACCCAAACAGGCATATTATAAGAACAATTCCACCACAAATACGTAGAACAATGGAATGAATATCCACAAGAAACAAATTTATGAATTGTCTGGATTAAAACTAAAAAAGAAGAAAAACAATCTAGGAAATGTTCACAAATACGACTTTAGGGTTTTTTATAAATTTTAGGTATTGTTTCTCTTTCTTCAAATCTTCTGGCAACTCATTGTATACAGGGTGATTCTTAATCTATACGCATAAAATTGGGAAATTATTGCTGATGACAAATAATGACTAATAATGAAAAAAATGTTAGTAAAATATTTTTAGATTCTGAAATAATTTGAGTTTTTTTTTACACAAAAATTTATCAACTTTATTAGTAAATGCACATTCAATTTAATGGAATTTACGTTTTTTGTTTTTATTTCAAATAGTTTGTTATCTCCGTAAATAAAAATATTTTACTAACTTTTTTATAACTATTTCATTATTAGTCATTATTTGTCATCAGCAATAATTTCCCAACTTTATGCGTATAGGTTAAGAATCACCCTGTATACAGGGTCGCACTCGGGGTCGCTGTTATGTATGGAAACGGTCGATTATTAGGTAAAATATAGGAGGTACCGCAAAAAGTTAAATACAAAAGTTATAGGATTTTTAAATGTCTATTAGCGAATAATAAATTCATGTATACAGGGTCGGTCATAAAGTCGTGGCACATCATAGTTTTATTTTTTTAAATAGCATATACATTATATTATTGCCATTTTTATATAGATATTATTGCATATTTCAATGCTTCCTTTAATTCTAAGCAAAAATTGAAATACACACAATGTACCTCAAACCAATCGTTTCCGAGTTATTGACTTTTGAAAATATCACTTAAAGAATTTGATCTCGAATTTGATTTAATTAATTTCGATATGTTCAGTTTCATTTAACGATGCCATTCTGCCGAAACTGTGATACTTAATAATATTTGACATTAGTTCTCAAATTAGCATTTATAGATATGTATAAAATGAGATTACATATATCAAGTCTGGAAATTACAAAATTTAAGTTTAACATTTGAATTCTTCAGTTTGTGTATATTGTGTATTACCATTATTTTGATTAAAATTGAAGGAAGAATTGAAATATGCAATAATATACAGGGGGTTTCATTTAAAAAAAATAAAGTTTGATGTGCCACAACTTTATGACCGACCCTGTATACTTAAATTTGCTAGTAGCTAATAGGCATTTAAAAACGCATTACAACAGTAACACAGTTTCGGCAGAATGACATCATTAAATGAAACTGAATATATCGATATTAATTAAATCAAATTGTTTAAAGTGATATGTTCAAAAATCAATAACTCGGAAAAGGTTGGTTTGAGGTACATTGTGTGTATTTCGATTTCTGCTTAGAATTGAAGGAAGAATTGAAATATGCAATAATATACAGAGGGTTCTATTTAAAAAAATGAAACTTTGATGTGCCACGACTTTATGACCGACCCTTATACATAAATTTATTACTCGCCAATAGACATTTAAAACCGCTATAATTTTTGAATTTACCTTTTTGTGGTACCTTTTGTATATTTTACCTAATAATCGACCGTTTCCATACATAAAAGCGACCCTGTATACGAAGCTCGCACTACAGGGGCTGTTAATTGCTTTATTATGGAAATTATTAAAATACATTTTATCCTGAAAAGTTGTTTCATACGAATGAGTATTATCGGTCGAGACAATTGCAAAATTTACCAACCATATAAAGGATAAAGGCATATTAAGGTTTAAAAAATGCCAAGTTACTTGAGTGGTAAAAAACTACTACAGCACAATTAATCTTGAAACTGCAGTATTATATGTATTATTTTGTATTTTGGTCAGTGACTAGTCATTTGGCAATTCTTAATTCATCAAGGGCTGAAAATTTAAAACTTCTATTTTCGCAAGGTTCACTTCTTAGACAAGGAAAGAAGCTCACTTCCATTGTTTTCCAAAGCATCCAGTCTTTCATCCAGTGCAATTTAAGTTGCCTATTTGTACATTTGTTGAAAGAAACACACTTCACCTAAATCATATACAATATACAGGGTCTGACAGTCTGTCGCGCCTATCATATAAAACTTAGGAATTTTGTTTAAGTGCAAATCTAAAGTACATATGTATGTATTAGGATGTATTACAGGAAAATAATTTAACCTCTACAGGTGCATGGTTCAAAATAGTTTGAGTGGATAGGGATAATTTTTTTAGATGAAACACCCTGTATATTACTGCATTTTTAGCTTCCTTTCTGATCACTTTACATATAGTCGTAAGATATTTTTAGATATGTTTTGATAGTTTCAGAGATATTGTTACGTTTTTCGTCGGTTCCGTGTGGATAGAAAGTCACAATTTATTTAAACACTATTTATTTAACCCTAATTAACAAAAACAATAACGATAAAAGACTTATAGAACTATTTACAAACGATTTATAACTAAGAATTTATTTTGAATTTTAGCGCGTCAACTGCACTCGGCTATTTATAACTGCCCTCTCTAGGCCACAGCCGCCGGCTTTTATACCGACAGGTAAAGAACTCTAGAATAGTCCATAGATCGTTAGGTGCATAGAGGTTTCGATTGTTCTCGTATGTACTACTCCATTCCAGTAGAACTCGATACATCTCGAATCTTCGAATGAATCATTACGGTGTCTATAGGCGGGTTCTCACTTGTCAGTTTCGCTGACGCAGTCTGACTGATTCAGTGATACTGAACAAACAATGAACGTCAGAACACATTTTCATGTTAAATGATCAGTACATTCGTACTTTCAGTTAAAGTGAAAACCAGTTCTACTTTTTTTCATTTTGACTGATCATTATCGAATAATGAATAGAAACTGAAGCGTGAGAACTACATTTTCGTGATTTGTGCAGTTTACAAGTTAAGTTAATTAATTCTTTTAATTTAGTTTCACTAGCACCCCGTTTATTTCTTCGCAATATCCAGGACCTGACCACCTACGACGTTTTTTTTTCTTTTCTGATTCACCAGAATATTCTCTAATTCATTTGCTAATTGTAAACAAACTCGAACACCTGGTTTTAATTTTGTTTTAACCATTTTCATGTCTATACGAAATCACCACATTAGAATGTTTGGACCAACTGAATACTGAATGTAGCAAAACATGAAACGTGTGAATACAATCGTTGTTTTTTATTTTTCATTGATAATGAATCAGTCAGACTGCGTCAGCGAAACTGACAAGTGGGAACCCGCCTTATGCGATGTTAAGGTCATCCGAGGGCGGGCCATATTGTGAGCTGTGTTGTTAGCTGTGATTGTTAGGTTAGGTCGAGTCCACACCGGTCCGCAACAATGGTCGCGTTCATCAGGACGTAGCGCTACCGCAGCGATCACTAATTTTCTGCTGAACGCGCCGATTAGTTGTGAGCGCTCTGGGATCAGTCGCCATTTTCTCCATTGATGGATTAAACGTCACATACGCCAAATGTCACAAAATGTTTTGGAAAACGAAAACAAAGCATTTTGTTTATTGTTCTCGGTTGACTAATCCCCTCGATTTGTGCCAAAAATGGGTGAAAACAATTTAATATGCATTACTTATGATTTTGATCTAAAAAGCACGTTCAGCAGGACAACCAATCGATGGAACATCGCTCACTGATCAACTTGCCCTGATGAACGCGACCAATATTAATAAAATATGTATATATTTTTTTCGGCCTCTTTTTAAAGAAATATAAAAAGTACAAGAACTGTCGTGAAATCAAAATTATTTTAGGTATTTACGATGGTCTGTACTTACTTTGCTATAAATATATATAGTAACACATAGTAATCTTAAACCACGCCGTTTTTTTTTTCGATCATACGGTACATCCAAGCTATAAAACAAGTAAAGTAATTCATAGAAAAATAGGTACTAGCGGTACTAGGTACATATTCATTTTTATGAGTAAAACTAAAATATCTACTTTTTTCATTCATCATATCCTCTATATCATGCTCTATATCCACCACTATATCCCACAGAAAACGAATTTAACTGTAAATACATTAATCGGCTCTTTGGCCATGATCCATTGGTTCTTTTGAACTAATTCTTCCATGTCTCATTTTTCAGATGGCGCTAAATTTTGACAGTCCGGCGCGTTCTCTTATGCGTTCTGTGTTCATGCTCTTATTCCTCCGTGGTTCATGCTGTGTTCTGTATTCTGTAGCCTGTAGCGTCACTTTTACTTTCTTTGAAATTTTAGCTGTAGCCGTATGATAGCCGTAGCAGAGGCTGTAGCACAGGGCTGTAGTCTGCTATGAGTCTGCTGTAGTTTTCAAAAGTGATGATTGAGGTAAATAATTATTAATTATTACAAGAAAACATAATTTTATCCGTCGATATGAATAAAAAACAACTTTGTACTTTGTTAAAATGAGTTTTGGTACACTGAAATATTCTTGTAAATTTCCCAACTGTAGAAACAAGTACTTTTTTCCAATAACGGAACCGAATTATAAAAACAAATCGTTCTTTCGATTTCCAGTAAAAAAGGTTTCCGTATGTGACACATGGAAAAAAATTTGCAATATAAATGAAAATACTAATTGTACCAGTTTCTATATATGCCAGGATCACTTTAATCCTAGTGAATATTTTAATTGCAACAGAGTTAGATTAAAAGCAGGGGCTATTCCAAAACACTTTTTTAACGTGAGTTTTGGAAAATTGAAATATTCTTGTAAATTTCCCAGCTGTGCAAACAAGTACTTTTATCCAATAACGGAACCGAATTATAAAAACAAGTCGTTCTTTCGATTTCCAGTAAAAAACGTTCCCATATGTGACAAATGGAAAAAAATTTGCCATATAAATGAAAATACTAATTGTACCAGTTTCTATATATGCCAAGATCACTTTAGTCCTAGTGAATATCGTAATTGTAACAGAGTTAAATTAAGGGCAGACGCTATTCCAAGATACTTTGATATTCAAACCAATCATGATTGTCATAATGCCAGTAAATCAAGCTTAGGAGCTGTTCCACAATATATTATTAACGAGCATGATTATTGTATACCTTGCAGATACTATGTTATTCAAAATGATCATGATTATTGTCAACCCTCAATTGAAATAATTTATTTGTTAAAGGGCAGTTAGTATTTATTAATATTAAGTAGATCTAATATTGTATTATTCAATAAAGTTCATATAGGTAAAAATATTTATATTAAACTCCTTTTTGTCATAATTATTAATGTGAATATGTATATATATTATATGGATATATTTTAAGTAGATTTTGTAATTCAGATAAGTTTGGAATAAAATCAGTTTTTGCATTTCTGAAGTTTTTATTGACCTCTAAAATTTTAAATATTCTGTAATACTTGCTGGAAAACCCTAAACTACAGAAAATTATAATTTAGCCACCGATATAGTTTGTGGTCAATAAAGCTAGTCTTTAGTAATGATGATCTGTTGCAATATTTTTCAAATTATTAATATTAACTATTTACCGAACTAAACTTCGCTCTAAGTATTCATCATGAATGTATATTATCTTTTTTCAGTTATATTAATAATAAACTCAAAAATTATTAATACAGAACATTGTATCGAATAGTCGAATATTAATTTTTATTTTACTTTAAACTTCCCTGTATAGCTTAGAAAACTACAGTACATTAACTATCAGAATGTCTTATTGGGTACTCTACTAAGAACATGCAGTGTTGCCACTTTGTATATGACCTATGTTGTGTACTGTTCATCTGTAAAGTTTCTGAAATTATTGAAAAAAGAAATGGAAAATGTTTGATTGTAATTAAATTGAATCTGTAGAATAATTTTCGTTATACCGTATGATCGAAAAAAAAAACGGCGTCCGGTTGGCTTCGAAATGACGATCGATGACATTTCCCATATAATTTTACATATAAAATGACAGCAATCTTCATTTCATAGCCATCGCTGACGCCGCGATCATACGGTATAATGCTTGTTAGAAATTTAGAAACTACACAATATTTCTTACCATGCGAAAATAGTACAGGTCTATGATCATAGATATCTATAAAACTAAAACTTTTAATTTTCACAAAATGTTTACTGCATTCTGTCTCTGTAGAGATCTTATCTTCATGCTGTATAATTATTTAACGCTTTATTAAATCTATAGAAAAAATAAAACAAAGTAATATCCATTGTGGTTTATTTTATCAAAATAAAATTGGAGTGGAAACTGAAGATAACCCATTTTATTAAATTTGATGATTTTTACGATAACCAATGATTTTATTTTAAATGAACTTTACAAGAAAGAATGAGCTCCTAAAAGTGATAAAATCATACAAATTACCACTTATAAATAAAAAGATAATTAGAATAGAGTGACAATTAAAAAACTTAATCCTCCAGAAAGAAATATTGTCCAGCTCGCTTCTGTTCCACATCCTTGACAGATTCCTGCTTATTAATTCTCGGTCTAAAGTTGTTGGGATCTCTTCTAAATGTGATTCCCAATAATTCCAAAAATCTATTCATTCCAGCGAGCAAAGTTTGCGGTGTATTGGCGGTAGTATCGACAGATGGCACGCCCTCAAATACAATGACGCGATCGGCCAAATAAGTTGCCATAATAAAATCGTGCTCCACTACAAAACCTGTCTTTTTGGCATGTAGAATAAACCTGAAAATTAAATATTAGTCATATGATACAGAACATTTCTTTGCGGTCGAATATTAGTTCTTATTTTACTTTAAAATTTCCTGTGTAGTTTAAAAACTTTTTAGAACTGCAGGTTTTTATCATTATATTTTATTGATTACTGCGTTGGTACATACAGATTGTTAACTGTGTGTTCGCGACACAGCACACCAATGTATTCATATTATGAACAGGCAGCGTTGCCACTTTATACATGCGCTACATTAAGAGCTGTTGTGATACTTTAAGTTTGAAAATGTTTATTAGCAGACCTTGCAGTCGAACATTGTTCTTTTTAGAACCTCTCTTAGTGCAAAGTGTAGATACAAGATACCTTAATGGCCGTAAAAAACTCGTCGCAACTTTATTAGAATATTTTGAACGGGAAAGCGGTAATATTGGCCCTTTATGTCCCTTAAGTGCTGTTAAGAAGGTGAGCTTTAACTGGTTATATATTTACTAGTTTAAGCCTGGCGCATCCGCCACGACATCAGGAAAAAAAAATACTTTTTATTTTTTGTATAATTAAATGAAAAACAAAAAATCCGGCGACGACAGTTTTTAGAAGAGCCAATTAGCTGTCTTTTAGTAAAAAAAGCCAGTTTCTAGAGCAAGTCGTTACTTCAGTAGAGACGATACAGATAAACATTAGCATTTTTTATATATTATGTAGATAATTAATTTATTTTTGTTTCCTAAAATAGTGTGATTAAAAGAAAATATGTAAAAGTGTTTATTTAAGTTCATACCAAATAGTTTATTTGGTATGAACTTGTAGTTTGTTTTGTTTTAATAGTGATGAAATAAGCTAGCCAAGGGTTATGTTTTATTTTCACTAACCTTTTTATTACTTTAGCAGCTACTAAACGTTGTTCAGAATCTAAATAAGCACTGGGTTCGTCAATAAGATATACGTCTGCTGGTTTCCCTAAACATAAAGTCATAGCAACTCTTTGTAATTCACCTCCTGATAAATTCTGAACCTCTTGGTCAATAATATCTTCAATTTTGAGTGGTTTCATTACATCAGCAATAAACTACAAAATATGTTAATTAGGAACCACAAAAAATGTAGATTAATTCTTAGCTCTTACTTGAGGGTGAATATAGGCATCTCGAATTTTTTCATGTAGAAGTTGTCTAACTAAACCTTGAGATTTTGGACTAATTTTCTGCGGTTTATAGCTGATATGAAGTTGGGGCAATGTACCTAGATAAAGTAAGTTTATAATAGAGAAAAATGTTCTTTAGTACGATAATATATACCTGATCCAGTGTCAGGCTCCAAATTTCCAGCTAACATTCTGATAAATGTTGTTTTTCCAGTACCATTTTCTCCCAGTAAAACCAAAATTTCTGAGTCTGAAAATTGACCTTGCTTCACACGCAATTTGAAGTTACCCATAGTTTTAGCCATAGAAGGATATTCATAATGGTTCATCCTTTTAACTTCCTCTTCTGTAGCTGACTCAGCAACTTTAAATACTAAAGACTCATCACGAAATCTAAGATTCTCAGTAGGCACAAACCCATCCAAAAATATATTTATACCTAATTTTTAAACAATGTAAATTTTAATATTGTATTTAACATAATTTTAACTAATTTACCTTCACGAACTGAAAAAGGCATAGTAACCACACCATAGGCACCAGGAACACCATATAAACAGCAAATAAAGTCTGAAAGATAATCAAGAACACTCAAGTCATGCTCCACAACAATAATAAACCTAAAATTTTATCAATAAAAGAAGATAGTTAAAATAAATGAAATATATTACTTGTCAGGATGTAATAAAGATCTTATAGTCTGAGCTGCATTTAAACGTTGTTTTACATCCAAATACGAGGATGGTTCATCAAACATAAAAATATCCCCATTCTGAATGCACACCATTGCAATAGCAAAACGTTGCAACTCTCCTCCAGAAAGAGCACCAATTTCACGTTCTTTAATATGCAGTAAATCTACAAAATAACAGACAATAGGTATTACGTGTAAATATAAAGGCTAATTTAGAAATGTATACCTAACATTTCACATATTTCATCTTGATTGCTTAGTTCATCTTTCTTATTAAGAAGTTGACCTACAGTCCCTTTAACAGCTTTTGGAATCTGATCAACATATTGTGGTTTAATTAAAGCTTTCAGATCATCTTCTAGAATCTTGGTAAAATAATTCTGTAATTCACTACCCCTAAAATGACTTAAAATCTCAGTCCAATCAGGAGGATCCTATAAGCATATAGATATTAAATTAACAATTATAATATTTAATTTTAAATATTTGACTCACCATATATCTACCTAAATTAGGTTTCTGCTTGCCTGCCAGAATTTTTAATGCAGTTGACTTCCCAATACCATTAGTACCAACAAGACCCAAAACTTCCCCTGGACGTGGAATTGGCAATCTATGTAATTTAAAAGAGTTTTTACCATACCGGTGAGTTGTTTCTCTTTGCAGGTTGCTAGGTAAGTTTATAATATTGATAGCTTCAAAAGGACATTTCTAAAAATTAGGCAATCCTATGAAATTTAAAATAATTAAAAATATATATATTTACTACCTTTACGCATATACCACATCCGATACATAGCTCCTCTGAAATAGCAGCAATTTTACTGTTGGGTGATACTTCAATACACAGCTTTCCCATTCGAACAACAGGGCATGATTTTTTACATTCTTGTCTACACCTTTTGGGTTTACACTTATCCGCATTTACAATGGCAATACGGGTAAGTTTGTCTGTCTCTTCAATTTCTCCTCTTCGTCTCGACATATCTCCTAAAGAAATAAAACAATATGTTCACTTTCTAAAAATATAACCTAATTCATGAATAATTATGAACTCAATTATAAGTCTTATCTGTTGACACAGACTCAGGAACATTGTCTAATCAACGAATAAGTATAGCTGTAACATTTATTTTACCTAGTTCCTTTACAAGTAATTGAAGTAATTAATAAAAAATATGGATGCACGGCATAGAGAAATATAAAATAAAAGAGTTGTCATTTCCATAGTCAAAAGTAGGCAACACGTTTAACGAGGATCGATTGTAGCGCACCCTTGAGCCCTAACTAAACTAATGGGAATATGACAGACGTAATCGGTAAAATAGGTATCTGCATTATCTACCACAAAAAAGGCGGGCAGTTTAAATGTGAATATAAAATTTTATGTATTTTTAAAAATATTACGAAATCAAAACTGCAAAAAAAATAATGAAAATTTATTTTTAACAACGGAATATTTGAAAAGTATAAACTATTCCGCGATGGGCCTCAAATATGGCCGACTTAAATTCCGGTTTATCAGTGTCGTCTAATTTTATTTAAAAAATGTAAAACTATGATGTAGGGTAGACGTGGGGTAGACTCAATAATTTGTTGTTTTATTTTACGTTGTGAATAAATGTTGGTAGTTATTAAAATTGTTATAAAAATATATAATTCTAATAAAAATAGATAAGTTATATAAGTATTTATTACCACAAACATCCGATACGCTACCGAAGCAGGTAAGTCAAATTAACGTATCTAAATTCTTTGACATCTAATCTTTGACAAGTAATAAATAAAAGCTAAAATGCAAGAAAAATATATAATTTAGTTAATTTAAGTGAATTTCATAAATGATCGGTTTACTACATGTATGTATATTACATAGTCACTTACTAGCGAAAAGTTGTTCCATTATTTCACTCAATATTTGCCGAGATCTACCGCACGCTACAGAACCAACTATTTTAGAGTCTTTTTCGATAAATCGCGATAGTGTCACTGTTAATTTAAGTGCTGCCACAATTTCCATCTAGATTTACTACCTTTATACAACTATCAGTAGTAGAATAAATAATAAATAACATAAAATAAGCTCCGTAAAGACTGACAAATCCACAAAATTTCAAATCAAATTCAAATGTGTCAAATGAATCGTCAAACAGAACTGTCAAGGATCCCCACCCTAGAGAGCTTTTATGGTGGCTTTTCCGCCCACCATGCATGAATACATCGATAGCATGCTCCTTCCTTAGTCTTCTTATTCAAAGGTATGATCGAAAAAAAATGGCGTCCAGTTGGCTGGGAAATGACGATCGAAACCAAACCAAACCATTTCCCATATAAAATGACAGCGATCTTCATTTCATAGCCATCGTTGACGCCGTTTTTTCTCGATCATACGGTATTATGATGTAAAATAAATTGAAATGATTTTTTTTCCAATAAAATATACCATTTAATTGTAACTGATTTTTACATAATAATTTCTTATAATATTGATGATATTGATCGACACAATGTTTGATACATCAGTATCACTTGTCCTATGGTTTCAATTTTACATAATCTAAATAGATATGTATTTTTAATTCTGGCTGGATGTCTTACAATTCAAAGCAATATTCAAATTTACTTCATATTTGTAAGAAGGTTTATCAGAGTATGTGGGTTTTAATCAGTTTTTATATTATTTTTCTGCAGATTATTATCAAAAAAACCTCTCTCTCGCTTAAGGAGGACTTGAGATGGACCTATTGGGTGGACCCTTGGCGAACCCTATTATGACCCCATTTATGACCCTATCTCCGTACTTTATAATATACCAAATATTAGCTTAAGTCAAGCATCTATTAACAGACCGGAGAGTCTCAGCGGTTTAAACTTTAATAAAAAACCAAACCAAACCCGCTCTATATCTTTGATTTTTAAGGGATTCTGGAACTTTCCTAGATCTGTAATAAGCATGCCTAGAACGAAAAATTAGGTACTTTTTGCATTTGCGCATGCGTTTTTAGAATTTTCAAAATGAAAAAACCCGAAAGAAAAACGATTGCTGACAGCTGACAACCGGGAGGAAGTACTATGGACGTACTAATTTGTAAAAAGTAATACGTATATGCGTACTAACCAGAGATATGGAAGTGGTGTTCAGAGTGTCAAGAGGAGGAGAATTCAGTTAATTAGATTTATGCACAGTTACAGGTATGAAGGCTTTTTCAAACATAGTATCAAGTTCTATAGTCAACATTTTTAGTATTCCTACAACTGTAAAAACAAGGAACATTGGACTGAAAAAATGGCAAGATTTATATAGGAAGAAAGGGTATTATGCCAATAAGAAAATTAAATCTGTAGGCAGAAGTTTCTTATTTAAAAACTGTTATGGGGCATATATTAATTTGTATCTGTGCCACAAATCACTGAGAAAAATCATATAATATTCATAATTGTTAACGAGATGATATTTAAAGAGTGTTAAAAATGAGACTATTAGTCATGAAGCTTACAGTGTTACTTTGTTTCAATATTACACTTTTATTCTTGTAAAATCTATGATGAAGTTCAAAAGCATTTTGCAATGGCCTTAAATTGTGAGTTGTGAGCCAGGATTTATAGTAAAGGTATTTGATGCAATGAAACTTAATCGGTACCTTCCAGTATGTATTTTAGTAAGGGGATTGTCAATCCCATGTTTTTAAATAGATAAAATACAGGCCAAAGTTGACAATATTACAGTTGAGAAGAAACTATTTTATCTTAAAAAAAAATTTCTTAAAATTCTGAGATCATATAATCTAATTTTCTTAATAATAAATTAGGTATATGTACATACAGAATTTTGTTATGGACAAATAAGGATCGACAAGCTTCTTTTGTGCAAAAAATAAATGATTTTTTCTAGTATTACGACAAACCATAATGTGTTTTACAAACTTACCGGTAACAGTTTTTGTTTATAATAAAATATTTAGGAATAATTTGGGTTGTTTATCAATATATTAATGACTTGAATTTTGACAAATCGAATTTGTATCAAAATAATTTTACGAAATATAAAATTGATGTTCTATTACAAGATTGAGTTTTTATTGTCGACAAAAACCAGGATAAATACTAATAATAATACCCTTAATAAAATCAATGATGTTTATGTATTATGAAAATATTTGTTAGAGGACATGTTATGTAACAGTTTTTGAAACATAATTTGAAGGGACGAATAAAAAAAATAAAACAAAAACATATTTTTTCTAGGTTTATATTAAAAATACAAGGTAGATAATCATCAAAAATAATTATGAACCAAATGTTTTTTATGAATATACAACTTGAACAAAAAGTTGTTTAGAACAATTTTTACCAAATTTGCAAAAATTTTAAATTGAAACGCGTAATTCAGTACAAGTAAACATGAAATATTGTAAATACTTATTTAATATCATTTCGAGTGTTTTACGACGAAAAGGTCATCTGTCCGTAGCGTCTTTTGTCAGAATATTCGTATATTTAGTGTATTATATACCAATATTGTACGCAGTTTTGAAACTGATAATTAAATAAATCATATTAATGTTAACTAACCATAATGAATGATAGAATTTCACTAAATTTAAATTGCCCCCCGTATGGTTGAAAACAGCAAATTGTGGACAAAAGACAAAAGAACAGGACGCCGACGTGCATAAAAATGTTCCGTAGCAGAAATTGACAGAAATCATATAGAAATATTCAGATTTTTGTCTAGGACAGTCTAGAAGGCCATGCTTTCTGCCTGGGTAGAACCGCGCCACAACTGTTTCCAATTTTCCGGTTTACTGTCACCCCCCTGAACCTAACCTCCAATCTCCAATTGTTCAATCGTGAAAAATTATGTTTGGTTTGGTTTGGATTAAAACTTTTATTCTGATTTGGTAAGTTTATTTGTGCTAATACTATGCGACATTTTTATGAAAAGTTGTTAATATTTTGAAGACTTGAAACACATGCATTGGGTGACTATAAAAAAGTTTGGAATCCCCGGTAAATAACATAAATACTTGCCAAGTAGGTAGTTATTTAGATTTTAAACAACAATATTTATATTTTATCATACAGATTGCGTGATAATGCCAAAAGAACAATACAGGGAGGCCGATGTGGCCAGGAAAATGTACGTAAATATTTTTCTATTTATTTATTATTGTTATTGTATTTTTATTTTGTTATTAGCTCCCATTTAAGCTTCGGAATTGAAAGTGCCGAGAATATGCAGCAACAATCTCATATTCAAGTAGTAGCAAAAAATCTATACAATCAAGATACGGGAAGGACTCCTGTATCTTATGGTGTTCTTGATAAAAGACTTGTAAGAAAATATAATATTCTCTATTTGTTTTCACTACAATTTTATATTGGAATTATTTTTGCAGGGTACAAACTCTAAAGAATCGCCATGTCAAACATGTGGAAAAAATATAAATGAGTGCGTTGGACATTTCGGATATATGGATCTCGAACTCCCTGTCTTTCATGTGGGATATTTTCGTAGTATCATTGCAGTACTTCAATCGATCTGTAAAAAATGTTCACAGGTGCTGTTAGATGAATCTGATAAAAATGATTATAGACATAGATTATCAAATCCTAATCTAAGTTATATAACAAAAAAAGCTTTAAGAAAAAAGATAAATGAAAAATGTAAGAAAGTTCAAAAATGTCCATACTGTAAATCTAACAATGGTTTTGTCAAGAAAATGACTGCACCTAAAGGAAGTACTACCAATACAGTTTTGAAAATTGTTCACGAAATATACAAGGAAAAAGATAAAGAAAGGCTATTGGAAAAACTCCCTAATGACTTTAATTTGGCTATTGAAAATAATCCAGAAATTCAAACAGCATTAGGAAATAGTGTTTCTGAAATATTAACACCTATTGATGTTGTGAAATTATTTGAAAGAATACCTTCAAGTGATATTCCACTTTTAGCAATGGAACCAGAAAGGTAAACATGAAAATTAGTTGTTTGAAATAATTAAATATTTTCTATATTATTTATTTAATTTCAGAGCTCAACCTAAAGATTTAATATTTACAAGAATGCTTGTACCACCAGTAACCATAAGGCCTTCTGTAGTGTCAGATTTAAAAGCTGGAACGTAAGTGACTTATTAATAGAAATAATAATATTTATTGTTTCAAAAAAAAAACACTTTACAGTAATAATTGTAAAAACATCTGCATTAGCAAAAGCTGTGCACAGATGATCTACATCATTCACATATGGTTCAACAATTCTGAATATTAAATTAAATTTCTATAATATTCATATTCAAATATTATAATTACTAAATCATTTATACTATCGAAAACAGCTTATTAAAAGACTTAAAAAATAATTATTTATATAAAAAATTAATGTAATAGTATAGCCTATTGTTCAAATAAAAGTCAGAAATAAATATAAATATTTACAGAAATGAAGATGATTTAACAATGAAACAATCAGAAATAATATTTATTAATCAAGTCATTCAGAAACATAAATTGTCAGGTGCATCAGTTAATATGTATCAGGAATGTTGGGATTTCCTACAGTTACAAACTGCTCTGTATATTAACAGTGAACTTTCAGGTGTTCCACTAAATATGATGGTAAGTTATTTGTGAATGAATTATAGAAGTACCTATTAGAAAATCTGAAAATTGTAGCCCAAAAAAGCCGGTAGAGGTCTTGTCCAAAGATTAAAAGGTAAACAAGGTCGATTTCGGGGTAACTTGTCTGGTAAAAGAGTGGATTTTTCGTCGAGAACTGTAATTTCTCCCGATCCAAACTTGGAAATTGATCAAGTAGGAGTACCGATGCATATAGCTAAAATTTTGACATTTCCTGAGAGGGTTATACAAGCCAACATTCATTTGATGCGATTATTAGTTATAAATGGCCCTGACGTATGGCCTGGCGCTAATTATGTACAGCAGAAGGGTTCAGCCTTTAAGAAATTTCTCAAATATGGTAACAGAGAAAAATTGGCTCAAGAGCTAAAGGTAATAGAAATCCTTGTATAATTTCAAATTAATTTTTATTTTTTCTTGTGTTTATAGCTAGGTGATACAATAGAACGTCATTTACATAACGATGATGTAGTTCTTTTTAATCGGCAACCAAGTTTGCATAAATTGTCTATTATGGCACACCGAGCAAAAATTCATACTAATAGGACATTAAGATTTAACGAATGTGTTTGTAATCCATATAATGCTGATTTTGATGGAGATGAAATGAATTTGCACTTGCCTCAAACAGAAGAAGCTAAGGCTGAAGCTCTAATTTTAATGGGGGTCAGTTCAAATATTCCATTTAAGTTAGGGTGTTTAATATGTTTTTTTTTAGAATAAAAATAATTTAGTAACGCCGAGGAATGGAGAATTATTAATTGCTGCTACACAGGACTTTTTGACTGGAGCATATTTGCTCTCTAAGAAAGATACATTTTTCGATAAGATTCATGCAATGCAGTTGGCTGCAACTTTGTTAGCTGGAAATGATACCCATATGGATATTGACATGCCTCCTCCATGTATTATAAAGGTAAACATAGTATTTTATTAATATGCGGGTTATTTCTGATATTATATATCGTCGGTGAAACGTGATAAACTGCGAACTCCATTATTCCTAATTTTACAGGAGAGCAAAAAAACGGTACAAAAAATATGTACACATATGGGAAGTATTTTGATGCGTTAATATGATAAAGAGATAAGAATTTTATTGGCTGGGGAACAATAAAACTCAATATTTCGTGTCACGTCATTTTTTTCCGACACAATAGGGAGATAGCAGATATTCGTCTTGCAGAAATAAGAAATAAAAATATACTTCTGGAGATAGCAACCTTTATTGTTTGAAATTTTGAAAGTGGAAATGAATATTACCCAAACAGATTTATAAATAATCAATTAAATTTAAAAAATATGATATTCATAACCATATATTTATAATATCGTCGGTCTAGAAGCAAAACATTCAAGTCCAAAAAGAATAAATTTTTATTGAAAATTTTAACATTTTTTGCATTTTTAAAGAACTGAAGTAGCAGACTTTTGGACTGAATGAATATGAAAATAATTTAAAAATTAAACTTATAATTCTTAGAAGATATGGTAGAATCCTTCCATGCTTATCCTAATTTTTATACAACGGTAGTAGACCGAGCTTTGAAGACAGTGCGTGATTTTATTAAATTTTTATTACTTTTCTCCTTATTTTTTTAATTTTTATAAAAATTATGTATCATTTACGTGAAAATACGTTGAAAAAAATGAAACTGATTAGGTATTATGGAAATTCTTGTACAAGTAAGTAATGTTATTTAAACTATTTATAGCACGCCGATGAATTGCTCGTATATATAGAGAATTTTGTTTTTCGCGTTACCCTTTACGGATACCCCGTATTTACAGAAGGGATCGACGCAGGGTCGAACTGGCAATATTATATAGATAACTATTAGGGGGGGCCCCTTATAGTTCATTAATAATTAAAGAGAATTAAGAATAATTATTATTCTCTTAACAATATTTGCTTTTGCATTGCATTATGGAATTTGCATTGCATTGGCTTACCTTGCATTAGGGTATTTCCTTGATTTCTATACAGGGTGAGTCTTAAATAAGTGCAAATATGTGCAGGGCTGGTAAATCTCGATAAAAGAAACATAATATTTTCTCTTTACAGTTTATTCAAATAAATCCAAAACAATCGAGTTATTTCACTTTTAAAATTTCCAATTTTTTGCTATAATTTTGAGAATCATTTGATTTTTTTTCTTGTAAATTTAATCTACTACCTATGTTACCATATTACAAACAAAGTATGTTTTTAAACTAAAAATTAAAAAAAAATCCCAAATGTTTTTTTTAAATTCCAAATTATCAAAAAAAAAAATCGCGCAAAAAAACTCATAATCGTGTTTCTTGGGTCGAAATATACTACCCTAAAAATATTTGCACTTATTTAAGACTCATCCTGCATATAATAGGGAAAAATTGACCAAAACGTAAGGCGAAAAAATACGCCAAAAAACATACTAACCCCTCCTAACATTGCCACCCAGGCCCCTTTGTCCTAGTGCGACCTTGGATCGACGTACTGTACTAAAAAAACACAACTAAGAATCTGTGTGTTTGCTTTAGCGTGATCGTAACGAAAATTACGTAGATAGCAGCATTTCGGTGGCTATTTCAGATCACTAAGAGTTAGCAGATATTATTGAGTTAAAATAAAAAATTTTTTTTAATGGGAAAAAATATGTTTGCTTTCCCTACTTATAGAGTTTTTTTTTCTCTTTCTAATGGTATAAAAAAACTTATTAACGTAAAAAATGGAGTTAGCAGGTTATCACGTTTCACTGACGATATGTATAATATAAAAGGGTCCTAATAATCTATTGATTAAAAATATTTTCAATATGGCGGCAACAAATTGACAGCAACTTTTTTATTTTAAATAGGTGCCCCCATTTTTTTACATATTTAAATTCTCTGTAAAATTTTATGAATCTTGATATTAAATACTCTATACCTAACATCAATTACGAAAAAACTGCCTGTCAAAAATATGTGTAGAGCCTAGATGTCAAATTTAGTGATTACCACAGCCACTGTGCCATAAAGAGAAGACTTTGGCTATCTATTTCAAAAATTAAATTGTTTAAATGTCATATAATAATGACCGCCATGCCCGCAACTGTCATGGAATTGAGCGATTAAAATATCATAAATCATTTTTTTCAAATGAACACACACTTTTTTTTATTTCACTAGTGAAAAGGTTTTTTCAATTGGTTACTTTTTGACTATACATGTTCCTGTACCTAAAATAAATTGTTTTTAAGTTATTTAAGATTTAGTTTTAAAGCGTATATTTTTCTTGATTTTAACCAGTAGCCTGTGACTTTAAACGTCAAGTAATATAAAACAATAGATCTCTTCATGTCATCATTTCCAACTTCATCAGCCAACTTTTTTTTTCGATCATACGGTATATTATTAATACTGTTAACTGTTAGATATCACTAAAGAGCGGAAATTCCAGGTATATTTTTATAAATACACTTTTTAAACTCTTAAACAGGCAATATTCATAATATAGGAAACTCAAATAATTTGTTTTCTGAGGGTGCAGCCACACTATCCTAAAAACGGCGTATCGGCGTAACGACCTTGAATCGATTTCCTGTAATTCTATTGGCTGAAATTTTTGACAGATGAATTTGACAGATAAAATTTCTGACAGATGAATGTTTCAGCCAATAGAATTACTGGAAATCTGTTCAAGGTCGTTACGCCGTTACGCCGATACGCCGTTTTTAGGATAGTGTGGCTGCACCAATGAGGTTATATACAGGGAGACGCTATGAGCATTTAAAGTGCTTGCGAAAAATGGTAACACTAGGCGTGGCTTAAGCCAGCACCAATATGGCGGCATTAGCAGGGCCGGATTAGAGAAACTTCTTTGAAAAATTTATTTTACACAATATAATGACCTCAACTTTTTTAGATAAAAATTAATTAATCAAAATTAACTACAAAACCTACAATCTTTTCAAAAATATAAATTACAAGATTAATTTTAATGACTATATGCTATGTATATTTAAGGAGGAAACAAAAAAATAATACACATTAAATAAATTAAATTTTATTGCTCACTAAATAACACTGTTTTGTTGCTAGTATGTCTTAAACTAATTGCCTTGTTTTTATTGATGTATCTAACAATAATAACCTTAACATTTTTAAAAAAAATTAGAAAAAAAGCGGAAAATAATTAAACATGATTACTGATTTACCATAATTAACATTTTGATAATCATTAAAATTTAGAAATCTTAGGAAATGATTATTTATTTGAGATATTTTATTGAGATGTTCTGTCAAAACAGTTATCAGAAAAATGTTTCGAGCATAGAACACTACCTGATGTAGCTTGCCAGTTTCTCCTGTTCAGAAACTTCACCTAAGCTTCTCGACGGATGGGATTTTTGAAACCTAAAAATCAGATTTAATATAATATTTATTTGATAAAAATTTTCTAAAGAGAGCAAAATTTATATACTACGTACTAAATTTAAAATGTTCTGATATAAAATTTTATTAAAATAATAAATGTTTATCAATAAATATAAGTCGTTAAGACTTTATCTGCAAAAAATAAATTTACTTTGTTGATTTTATAATATTTATCTAAAAATTAAAGCTATACTATATAAAGTTTGTACATAGTATATGCTAGCAGATGCTAAAAAGGGATGTAAATAAATGTTTAATACAAAATCTTACTGTAAAAATAGAAAAATAAACCGTAGTTAAAACAAAACTTTTAAATTTGGCCTAGCAAAATACTCTTTCCTGTCAAAAAAAGTATATGTAGTAAAAACTTTGAGTAAAAATAACAGATATTGTTAAGAATTGTTTTTACAAGAATAGAAGTCGAGGCATGTTTTAATTACTTAATTGCCTCTAACAAAGTGTTAAATAACTAAACACTTTGTCAATATAGAAACACTTAATATTTAATTAATAAACGCATAACTAGTTAAATGGAAAATACGAAAATAATTTAATCAGGTCCTGTATTATGTTTACACTTACCTGTGAAATGCAATTTCAGTGGATTTCTTCCTCTCTACACGTTGTCGACTGCAACAACTACTTACAGCACACGAAGACATGTTCGGAAAGTCCAAATATTCAAATAAAAACACAAAAATAGTCTTGGAAAATTAAAAAACACTCGCAGCAACGCACTTAACCTCAAAAACTGAACTGTCAGAATTGCCAGTACCAATATGGCGTAACTGGGTACATTTCTCGATAGCTTATGTCACCTCCCCCCCTTATAACCTCATTGGGCTGCACCCTGAGAGATGGAAATAAATTATATGGCTGACACTTAATGTCAAAGGAAGCTAGACAAAATCAAGAAAAATGTTCCTTTTCAAACTAAATCGAAATCTAAATCTATAGAAATATGTATAGATAAAAAGAAACGAATTAAAAATCCTTTTCATAGGTGAAATAAAAAAAGTGTGTTTCCGTTTGAAAAATATGATATATGATAATTTTTTAATCACTCAATTCCATGACAGCTCCCACCATAGCTCCCACTTTTATTATTTTATTATATGAGATTTGAACAATTTAATTTTTGAACTAGATAGTCCACATGTCTTCTCTTTATGTCACAGTGGCTGTGGTAATCACTAAATTTGACTTTTAGGCTATACAAATTTTGGCTGAAATCGTACTAAATCGCATCACATAATATTTATAGAATAGTGAGATGTTATTTATTTACATATTTTACATAAAAAAATCTTCTATGTGAGGTTTTCTATTTGATATTTTAATTCTATTTTTTTCTAATAACATACGTGCAATATCATGGCAAATTTTTTAAATAATTTCAGTTTTTTTAAATATTTCAGATATGTACTTGAACTATATTTGTATAATAAATGGAACGTTATATTTTTTTACGTTGTTACGAAAAATATTCATAACATTTTGTTCTTTCTCTAAGAAAAATATTTTATAAATATTTCAAACAGGAAAAATTTAAACTAAAAAGAATATACAGGGTGCCCCAATATTCCGTGGACATAGAACTACTACATATTTTTGGAATCAAAATAAGTTCATTGGATACAATTTGCCCTCGAATTTACCTCTATACTTTTATATATTTATATAAAAAGTGCTTCGTTTGTCCGCTAGAGATTTTTTCAGATATTTTTAAGAACCGTTATTCCGATTTGAAGGAGATTTTGAGGATGTTTTGCTAGGACTATTTTACGAAAATAATAGTTAGTAAATACTAAAGTATTTACTACATTTTTTATTTCTTGTAAAAAAAACGCCAAACCAAACCAAAAACGCCCCCATGCATACTTTTTGAGGAAAAAAATATTTTTCCAAAGCTGACTTCCAAAAAATGTTTTTGTCACATCAAGTTATGGAGGCGCATAAAATCTATTATGCTGTAATAATCTAATTGGCGAAAAAATGAAATTTTATGTTAGTATCGCAAATTATATTTGACAAAAATATTTGCTTCATATAAAGCTTAATTTTTTTTTACATTAATTAACATTCGGGTTTATTTTTGATTGATGTCCTATAACGGACAAACGAAACACTTTTGTATAAAGGTAAATTATGGGCAATTAACTTATTTTGATCCAAAAATACGTAGTAGTTCTATGTCCACGGAATTTTGGGCAACTGTATAAGAATAATCTGAAAAAAATATATTTTTTAGCCAAGAATATTATGGTCTGGAAAACAAATAATTTCCTTAATATTTAAGCCAAATAAGTCGTCAAATGTATTAGCGAATCTTGAAGCTAAAGGCAAAGCTTATACAAAAAATAGGGAGATGTGTGTTAAAGACTCTTATGTAATCATCAAGAATTCCCAATTAATTGCTGGTACATTGGATAAAGGACATTTGGGTAGTGGAGGAAAAGGAGGAAATATATTTTATGTAATTTTAAGAGATTTTGGACAAAATTTTGCAATCAAATCTATGTGGAGACTTGGTAAACAATAAAATATTTCCTTTTTAGTCCTAGTTATTTAGAATTTGTATTAACATTTTTAGGTAGGATGACTTCAAGTTATTTAATGAATACTGGATTTTCAATTGGTATTGGAGATGTGACTCCAGGTGAAGCTTTAGTTAACAGAAAAAAGAAATTACTGAAAGATGGGTAAATGATCCTAGTTAATTTATTTTTTCAATTATTGTTTAAGAATAATTGGCAGGCTTACAATCTCAGATTAATGGATTATTATTATTATTACTATTACCAAACTATTACTTATTTTTTTCTAAATGTAGATACGAAAAATGTGATGAATACATCAAGCAAATGGCCCAAGGCAAGTTGCAAAGTCAACCTGGTTGCACTCCAGAAGAGACCTTAGAAGCTATAATTTTGAAGGAGCTGTCCGTTATAAGAGAGCATGCTGGTCAGGCTTGTGTAGCTGAGCTCCCACCAACAAATAGTCCTCTAATTATGGCTCTGTCAGGTTCAAAAGGTAAAACCACAGATTATACAGATTATAATCTTTGTTTTTTCTTAATTGTTTTTCGTGGTTCCAATTTTCGGAATCGGGCACTAGTTAGGTGACTAGTTTGCGCACATAGCACGCTCACTTATGACCTCTAAAATTGTGCACAGCGCCTGACCGGCACAGTTATTAGAGAGATATCGGAAAACCGAATAGCGTCATCCAGCATTTACGCGTACCTTATCATGGTTACAATCTAAGGTTACGATATGCGCGAGTCAATTTTTAACGCAACACCCGCTAATAACGTTACCGCCTGACGTAATTTGCGGGTCAATTGCACCAAGCGCTCTTTCTAAATAACCTCTGATAACGTTTAAAAATTGCTTAAATGGGCATGTGCGGGTATTTGACAACCGGAGCCGGCAGGCGAGATCTTTTATTTTAGGTTATGTTTGAATTGTTTTGAATTATTGCTTTAGTATTATTAGGTAATTTGATATTAAAGTAGCTGGGATTAGTTTTAATTAAATAAATATGGCCCAAAATATGGATTCCACCTCTTCCAATACTAAAGAACCTATAAAGAGTCTTAGGTTTACAGCAGATGACGACTTAGCCCTTCTAAGAGAATTTGTTGCTTGTTGCCCTAAACCCACTGGCAGACGTTGAACAATAAAACACTGGAAATAAGCACATTAGCCCTTTAGTTTTAAAATACCTAGTAAACAAAACAATTTCAAAGTTTTAAATTCAAAGTTAGGTTAAGTTTAAATAGCGGACGCGACGCGATCAGAATTCTTTCCGATCCGATAACTATAAATGAAGAGAGTTAATACCACCTCACGTAAAGGAAATAACACCTGGCCTTATTAACGTCCATGCACGCTATTCGGTTTAGCGATATCTCTCTATTACGCTGTTTATTGTTATTTTACGGGAGTTTATTTTTGCGCACAGGAAATTTGACTCGTTTGCACATCGTCATAAAAAACAACTTTCGTACCACGAATTAGGGACAAGATTTTTATCTGTATACTTATAGGATACCTAATCTGTGGTAAAACTCTATGCACACGTAACATTTTACTTTACGTTCTGTCTGTCAGTTAAATTGGAAGGTCGTCCAAAGAATTGACAGCAGTTCTCTAGACAGTCGTCCGTGTGCTTTACAAAAATCTTAGCCAACTTACTAGATTGCCATAGCGATTCACTCCTATACATGTAAACGCCGACCCAAGGTTTCGCTTGCCAGCAGGGTATACCGATTTGGGCATTTAGAGGTGTGGTCTGGATTTTAACGTGTAAGACAGAGAATAATATAAATGACCGGTTGACAGACAGAGAGACAAAATCAAAAGCGGCATACAGTGTTGCCGGTTTTTACGTTTGTAGGAAAATTTGTGTAGAAATAAAAAATATTTTAAAAACTTTCATGTTATACTACTTAAATGAAGATAATATATCTAAGCTAAATATAATCTATTACATCATAAAAAATGGCGTCTAAGGTCATAAATTCTGCTGCAGCCCGTATATGGGCGTTACATGTCCTTATATTCTTTAGTCATTGGCGCTAACTATAAATTCCAGCGGCGGCGGCGTAGCGTGGCGTCAAAACAGGGGGATAGTACGCATACTCTCTACTATCGAATCGTTCATGACGACGCTCCACAATATTTTTTATTTTATGCCCCGAACGAGATGTGTTTATGAAACCGCATCACCCATCGACTAAATCAGCGAACGGGAAAGGTATTCGCGGTCGAAAAGTTCGCTGACTTCGGTTCGTGTTCGACGGCGTCCAATCAAGATGTAACGGACAAGTCGCATTAAATTTACTGAGAATTTTAATTTATTATAGATGTCAGGTGACTTATTTAAATAAAACCGTATTACAATCAGGGTTGGCATGATTTAAATCGTGATTTAAATCAAGTGATTTTTTTAATTTTAATCATGTGATTTAAATCAAAAAATCAACTTTTTTAAAACTTTACAATAAATTGAAAAATAACTGTAAAAGTTATAAAAATGTGTCCTAGAAAACTATAAAAAATATTTCTATAACATACATATCCTATATCTATTCGTTAAATAAAATGTTACGCTTACTATTGTAACGTTTAAATACGTTTAATAAATCGAAAAAAATTGTAAATGTTATAAAACTATATAAAAAATGATTTGTATAACACATATACCTACTACATATCTACTACTATATTTATCAATTAAAATGTTGGACCGATTTTTGAAGTAATTTCGTGTGAATCCATTAGACTTCTAAAGGGCAGGGATTTATTTTGAAATTTATGTACAAGTGACAAAAAATGCTGTTCGAATACATTTCATTCGCAACCTCTAGTGCAGAAAAAGGTTCATTTGATGTTAGACTATATCTGCAAATCGTTGTCAGAAAATATGCTGTTTTATATCTTTTTATTTTACACTTTGACAATAGATAATACTAATTTCATTCTCGACTTAAAACTATTTCCGAACAATAGTGTTTTGTGTAAGGAGTAAAAATTATACTTTTTTTGGCGATTTTGTACGTTTTTACGGACTAGCGTAAACAGGGAGGCACAAAAGTACATTTTTACTTCGAGTAGAATATACTATATATTTTTACAAATTAAACATTACAAATTTAAATAATTTTTTAATCAATTCCAAACGTTGCAAATAATATAAAAAGTAATGCCTTGTAAGTAATCGAGTAACAATTTGTACACTCGTTGAAATTGACGCTTAATATCAGTTTAATAATATATTTTTGTACTTTTGTGCTTAGGTGAAAAAGTGCTTTACTTTTATGCCTAGGCGTTGAAATTACAAAAATTAATACACTTGTGGCATTTCAAAAAAAATCCTTTTGATCTGAAGCGAGCGACTTTTTTTGCAGAATATATTGGTGACCGATGTCTGGGAAAATGACACGCGCCGTAGAATTGTTAATGTTGTTAGTATTGGCAAAGAATATCTTAATACCATAGAAGTCTCGTCTGGCATCAAAATCTGACCTGTCGATGGGGCCTCGCTTTGGCGAGCGAGGCCCCAACTTCGTGGAGCCTCGCTATTTTGCTCGGAATTGAACGAATAGACGCGCGGCGTTGCCTTGTTTTGTGTGTACTTTCTTGAATAGTTTTAAATTATAGTTATAAATTTTATCTATTGCTATAATCAGTCCTTCCGTTCTCCGCACTCCGCAGTTTACATATAATATTATCTTATATAATTCCCGTGTTACAGTTTTGGTTACCGTACTCCTCCGAAACGGCTTAACCGATTTTGATGAAATTTTATATGTATATTCAGTAGGTCTGAGAATAGGTAGTTATATATTTTTATACCCTTAAATGATAAGGGTAGTCCACCCCCATTTTTTTATTTTGTGAAAAAACAATATTTTATTTTTTTTTTATTTGGCATTAAAAAATACAAACAACACTAAATTTTCACCGTTCTACTTTCATCCCCTATTTTTTAATAGGGGTTGTTTTTTTACTTTTTTGTTACCATCTCCGAAACGGCTTAACCGATTTTGATAAAATTTTATATGTATATTCAGTACGTCTAAGAATAAGTTGTTATCTATTTTTATACCCTTAACTGATAAGGGTAGCCGAGAGGGTAACCCACCCTCATTTTTTTTTAGTTTTTGAAAAGAAAAAAATGTTTTTTATTTTTTTATTTGGCATTAAGAAATACAAACAACCCTAAATTTTCACCGTTCTGCTATCATCCCCTATTTTTAATAGGGGTTGTTTTTATTTTTTGTGTTGCCATCTCCGAAACAGCTTAGCCGATTTTGATGAAATTTTATAAGTATATTGAGTAGGTCTGAAAACAGGTTGTTATATATTTTTTATACCCTTAAGTGATAAGGGTAGCCCACCCCCATTTTTTTTATTTAAAAAAAAATATTTTTATTTTTTTATTTGGCATTAAAAAATACAAACAACCCTAAGTTTTCACCGTTCTACCATCATCCCCTATTTCTTAATAGGGGATGTTTTTTTTTAAATTTTTGTTACCATCTCCGAAACGGCTTGATCGATTTTAATGAAATTTTATATGTATATTCAGTAGGTCTGAGAATACGTTGTTATCTGTTTTTATACCCATAAGTGGTAAGGGTAGCCCACCTCCATTTTTTTTTATTTTTTGAAAAAAAAAATATTTTAATTTTTTTTATTCGTCATTAAAAAATACAAACAACCCTAAATTTTCACCGTTCTACCATCATCCCCTATTTTTTAACAGGGGTTGTTTTTTAAGATTTTTTGTTACCATCTCCGAAACGGCTTAACCGATTTTGATAAAATTTTATTTGTATATTCAGTACGTCTAAGAATAGGTTGTTATCTATTCTTATACCTTTAAGTGATAAGGGTAGCCGAGAGGGTAGCCCACCCTCATTTTTTTTTTGGAAAAAAAAATAATTTTTTTTTATTTGGCCTTAAAAATACAAACAACTCTAAATTTTCACCGTTCTACCATCATCCCCCTATTTTCTAATAGGGGTTGTTTTTTGATACCATCTCCGAAACGGCTTGGCCGATTTTGATGACATTTTATTATGTATATTGAGTAGGTCTGAAAATAGTTTGTTGTCTATTTTTTATACCCTTAAGTGGTAAGGGTAGCCCACCCCAATTTTTTTATTTTTTGAAAAAAAAAAATATTTTAATCTTTTTATTTGGCATTAAAAATACAAACAACCCTAAATTTTCACCGTTCTACCATCATCCCCTATTTTTTAACAGGGGTTGTTTTTAAGATTTTTGTTACCATCTCCGAAACGGCTTAACCGATTTTGATAAAATTTTATATGTATATTCAGTACGTCTAAGAATAGGTTGTTATCTATTCTTATACCCTTAAGTGATAAGGGTAGCCGAGAGGGTAGCCCACCCTCATTTTTTTTATTTTTGGAAAAAAAAAAATTTTTTTATTTGGCCTTAAAAAATACAAACAACTCTAAATTTTCGCCGTTTTACCATCATCCCCTATTTTCTAATAGGGGTTGTTTTTTTGATATCATCTCCGAAACGGCTTGGCCGATTTTGATGAAATTTTATAAGTATATTGAGTAGGTCTGAAAATAGGTTGTTATATATTTTTTATACCCTTAAGTGATAAGGGTAGCCCACCCTCATTTTTTTATTTTTGGAAAAAAAATATTTTTTTATTTGGCCTTAAAAAATACAAACAACTCTAAATTTTCACCGTTTTACCATCATCCCCTATTTTCTAATAGGGGTTGTTTTTTTGATACCATCTCCGAAACGGCTTGGCCGATTTTGATGACATTTTATTATGTATATTGTGTAGGTCTGAAAATAGTTTGTTATCTATTTCTTATACCCTTAAGTGGTAAGGGTAGTCCACCCCCATTTTTTTATTTTTTGAAAAAAAAATTATTTTAATTTTTTTTATTTGGCATTAAAAAATACAAACAACCCTAAATTTTCACCGTTCTACCATCATCCCCTATTTTTTAATAGGGGTTGTTTTTATTAAATTTTTTGTTACCATCTCCGATTGACCGATTTTGATAAAATTTTATATGTATGTATATTCAGTACGTCTAAGAATAGGTTGTTATCTATTTTTTATACCCTTATGTGGTAAGGGTAGCCCACCCTCATTTTTTATTTTTTGAAAAGAAAAAATGTTTTTATTTTTTTAGTTGGCATTAATAAATACAAATAACCCTAAATTTTCACCGTTCCACCATCATCCCCTATATTTTAATAGGGGTTGTTTTTTAAGATTTTTTGTTACCATCTCCGAAACGGCTAGACCGATTTTGATAAAATTTTATATGTATATTCAGTAGGTCTGGTTTGGTTTGGTTTGGTCACAACCTATTCCTAGGTTGTTATCTATTTTTTATACCCCTAAGTGATAAGAGTGGCCCAGGGGATGCATGCCTAAAATTCGCTTCTAGGTACTCACTTTCATCATTTAAGGGACCTCTGAACAGAATTTCATACTCCTAGTCCTAGAACCGATTTTACATAAAAAATTATACAAATTTTCACCCCTAGTTTTACCCCCTTAAGGAATGAATTCCAAAAATCACTCTAATTATTCAATTACGCTACATAAGGAACCTCTGTGCAAATTCTCATATTCCTTGAACAGAATTTATTGTTCCAGAACGTTCAACCCCTCATTTCACACCCTTAGAGGGCGAATTTCCAAAAATTGCTTCTTAGTGCTAAATTACGTTACATAAGGGACGTCTGCAAAATTCATACTTCTAAAACCGATTTTAACAAATTTTTTGTACAAATTTTCATCCCCTTATTTTTTAGGGGATGCATGCCTAAAATTCGCTTCTAGGTACTCACTTTCATCATTTAAGGGACCTCTGAACAGAATTTCATACTCCTAGTCCTAGAACGGATTTTAAATAAAAAAATTATACAAATTTTCACCCCTAGTTTTACCCCCTTAAGGAATGAATTCCAAAAATCACTCTAATTATTCAATTACGCTACATAAGGAACCTCTGTGTAAATTCTCATATTCCTTGAACAGAATTTATTGTTCCAGAACGTTCAACACTCATTTCACACCCTTAGAGGGCGAATTTCCAAAAATTGCTTCTTAATGCTAAATTACGTTACATAAGGAACGTCTGCAAAATTCATACTTCTAAAACCGATTTTAACCTTTTGTACAAATTTTCATCCCTTATTTCTAAGGGATGAATGTCAAAAATTAGCTTCTAGGTACTCACTTTCGTCACTTAAGGAAACTCTGTACAAAATTTCATACTCCTAGAACTAACACTTTTTGTACAAAATTTCACCCCCCAGTTTCACTACCCTTAGGCTATACATTTCCAAAAATCGCTTATCAATGTTCAAATGCGCCACATCTGTGCAAAAGTTCATACTCCTAGTAGGTACAGATTTTTTTTTGTATAATTACATCCCTTTATCTAATTACACCCCCTTATGGGTCGAATTTTAAAAAATTACTTAGTAGTGCTCATCTTAGAGAACGAATTAATATTCTCCGTATTTACTCCAGTTTCCTAATACTAGCACAGATAACACATAATCATACTAGTTAATTTTTTATTGGAATAGAAGTAATTTTTATTAGAAGGTACAAAAAAATTAAAAATCTAAAATTTTATTTTCATAGCTACGTTTTTTTTTCTATCGAATATACGAAATATATAATCAATACATATTTCTTTAAATATCGAGAAATAAAATATGTTTGGCAACACCGTACGAAATATCGCCGCGCGTAGTCCTCAAAATTTAAAATATTAGCATTTTCAGGCTTCGATTATGTTCAAAAGCGCCACCGTATGACAAATCACTAAAGCTTCCACACGAGAGTTCTTAAAACTATAATATTCTTTGGTATTGGGCAGAGTTATGAAGATTTAGCCATTTAGGATAGGAATTTAATTGGAATTAAGTCCTAATTATTTGGAAATCCGATTTAAATAATGTTTTCTATTAAAATCAAAAAAATCTGATTTAAATAAAAAAAAATCTGTTTTTTTTATTTTTTTTAAAAAATCATGATTTTTTCCAACCCTGACTATAATACTTTGAAGGGATGCGACGCATCATCCGCATCAATGGAACCCTCTGATAAATTCTCGGCATTGTTTGTTTATTCTCGTTCTTTCTCAGGGTATGTTCTACAAAAATAAATTCTCGGCCGTTTTACAACACTGGTGGTGACATCGTGACATCCCAAAATCGCGCTTGAAATGTATTACCTGTTTAGAAATTATTGGCAGAATTTTTAACGTTTATGTTAGTGCTTTATTTTATGGTATTTACATATTTTGAACCATATTAAAAAAGTACTTTTTAATATTTGACTACTTACTAGCTAACTGGATTCATGTGCATTTCAGGTTCATTCATCAACATTTCCCAAATGATAGCTTGTGTGGGCCAACAAGCGTTAAACGGGAAAAGAGTGCCAAACGGATTTGAAGACAGATCTTTACCGCATTTTTTACACCACTGTAAGTAGCTATAAGCTATAACATAAAGGTTAATGATAATAATGCTCTAATAAGTTTTATAAAATTCTCAACTGTAATAATCATCAAATAATCTCGCATATTTAACTTTTGATTATTTCTTTACAGCTAAAACACCAGAAGCTAAAGGATTTGTTGAAAATAGTTTTTATAGTGGTTTAACTCCTACTGAATTCTTTTTTCACACAATGGGTGGGAGAGAAGGTTTAGTAGATACAGCGGTAAAGACGGCTGAAACTGGCTACATGCAACGGCGATTAGTTAAAGTAATTGATTTATTTATTCATTTTCCATTTAATAATATTAAAATTTAAATACATTTGTTTTTTAAATTGCAGTCTTTAGAAGACTTGGTTGTACATTATGATGGTTCAGTGAGAAATGCTGAAGGTGATATTGTTCAAATGACTTATGGATGTGATGGCTTGGATCCTACTTTTATGGAAGGTAACAGTACTATTTTAGTATTACATATTGCCTTCTGTATTAAAATCTCTTTTTTAGGCAAAGATTGTCCAGTTGATTTTGATAGAGTATTAGCCCATATAAAAGCGAAGTGTCCATATAGAACCGAAATTGCTCTTAATGGTGATCAGGTCAGAAAAGCAACACAAGCGTTTTTGGCTACGGGGGCGCTGGACGAATGCAGTGACGATTTTAAGAAAGAATTGAGGTAAATAAACAGATGAAATTATTTTTATTAAAATGATTGACCAAATTTCACTATTATTTTAGAAAAATGTTTTTATTTTTGTTTGTAAAATTTTGTGATACTGTATATGTAACTCTAATCACCCTGTATATACCAAACAACAGCTTATTTTTGTCCAAGTAATTTTGAACAAATTTACTTAAATACATTGTTATTAAAATGTTTAAAATTATATGCAGTGTATTAAGAACATGTTATATTTTTAGCAAATTTATGGAGAATGTGGCTGAAAGAACTGACAAAGTATTGAAACGTTTTGGTTACACAAAAGTAGTGAAAGAAATTGAGAGATTAACCTGCAGTCAACTAGTTACATTCTTAGAAACATGTGGACTAAAATATACAAGATCTATTATTGAACCAGGAACAGCAGTTGGTGCATTGGCTGCACAAAGTATTGGCGAACCGGGAACTCAAATGACACTGAAAACTTTTCACTTTGCTGGTGTTGCTAGTATGAATATTACCCAAGGAGTACCAAGGTTAGTACTTAATTCAATGTAACCCATACACATTGTTAAAAAATAAATTCCTATAAAAGTTTTTTTCAATTTAGATGTAACTTAAACTTTTCTTTATAAGAACAGGTTTTTTAACATCTCTTTAAAGTTTAAGCTTTGCATTCTCTCTCTCTCTCTCTCTCTTTCTCTCCTTTCAATATTAGTATACTATTCCAAAACTCCCTGTATATTATAATATAGTTTGTATTAAAAATGGTTATTCCCTTAGAATCAAGGAAATCATCAATGCTACAAAAACTATTAGTACGCCAATTATTAATGCAAGTTTAGTAAACAATAAAGATCCATGGTTTGCTAGAGAAGTTAAAGGTAGAATTGAAAGAACTACTTTAGGAGAGGTAATTGATATATACTTTCTGTATTTTATAATAAATATGTGAATTTTTTAGATCTCTACATTTATAGATGATGTATATACAAAACAAGAAGCATTTTTGTTAATCCAGTTAGATTATGAAAGAATCAAATTACTTAAATTAGAAATAAATGCTGAAACTATTAGATATAGGTAAACTGTGACCATTTCTTCTTTAATAGTATTTATATAAATTTATAACATAGCAGTTTTTAGTATCTGTACTACATCAAAATTAAAATTAAAACCAGGAGATGTGCATGTGGAAAGCGATACAATAATTACAGTGCATCCTAATATATCCATAAATTCAAGGAGGCTTAATTTTGCTCTCAATGAACTCAAAGATCAACTACCAAATGTTGTTGTTAAGGTAAATTTAGAGTAATACCTACATGTTCTTAATACACTACAAGTTTTGCTTTGTTTATACAATTTTAGGGATTACCTTCGGTTAATAGAGCTGTAATTGCCAGAGAAGATAGAGGCAATAATACAACATACAGCCTTTGTGTTGAAGGAAATAATTTCAGAGAAGTAATGGCTACTTATGGAGTTGATGGAAATAAAACAGTATCCAATAATATCATCGAAGTATATCATGCACTTGGAATAGAAGCAGCCAGGTAAGATACATATTATATTTTAGTTACTTAAGTATCTTATATTGTAATTTTCAGAGAGGTCATAATGTCTGAAATTAAAATGGTCATGGAAAACCACGGTATGAGTGTTGATTATCGACATATTATGTTATTAGCAGCACAAATGACTCACACTGGTGAAGTATTGGGAATAACTAGACAAGGTTTATCAAAAATGAAACCATCTGTACTTAATTTGGCTTCTGTAAGATGTATTACAATAATCTTGACATTACTTAATATTCTTTTTCATTACAGTTTGAAAAGACTGCTGATCACCTGTTTGATGCAGCCTATTATGGTCAGACAGATAAAATCAGTGGTGTGTCCGAAAATATAATAATGGGAATGCCAATTCCTATCGGAACAGGAATTTTTAAGTTACTCCATAAACCAGAAGATGTTGACCAACATCCAAAAACCAATAATCTTCTATTTGAATCAGCTGTATAGATATTACACTGTTAACTTATTATTTTTTATATTTTAATAAAATGTTATAAATAATAATTTAGTTTTAATTATGTTGATATTTTTGTATAAAATGTGTTACAAAAATTAATGAGATGATATTTTATATCTAATACTAAATTAAGATTCTTTCTTCTGTTGAACTAATTCTCTTAAACTGTTTGTTGCTTCTTTTAATGAATTTTCTAAATAGCCCATCTGGGTTTCTAAAGTTTTAATTTTCTCCTCTGCATGATTTTGTTTCTTTTTCAGATTTTCCTGGACTGTGTCTTTTGGAGTTAAAATAAACATTCTGCCAACTGATTCAAAAGTTTTTGTTACGGGTTCTAGCCCAGCTATTTCTCTAGAATAGTCATTATATAAAAAAGTACATTTGTCACATTAAGGGTGGTTTTCCACCCCTAATGAAATGTAATGGATTAAATAGACAAAAAATACCTCTCAGTTATAACTGAATGTTGTTTTGCTCGTTTTAACGCCTCTATTTGGATTCTCGATATTTGAAGTTTTTGTTCTGTTACAACTTTTTTCTCTTGCAGCTCAGTAAAGGCCTGAAACAAACTTTGTTGCAAAATACAAACATCTTAAAGGAATAAAACTCACCTTTTTTAGTTCTAAATCAACCCCTGACATTTTTAGAAAACGTAATTTTTAGAAACTTAACTAGTATACCCAAAATTGGAAAGAACTGATCAGAGGAACTGATTTAAAAAACAAATGTGATACAGACCGTGAGATTTGAGATTTGACAATTTGGTTATTATCTTTCCTTTTTTATCATATATAAATGTCAGAACAATTAAGTAAAAATGTATATGATCACAGATCCATAGATTCTGACAGATAGTAATTTGATTTTTTAACCTCACTATTCAAATTATCAAAATATCGTGGTTTTCAACCATTATATCTTTATATTTATATTTTAGAATTATTTAGTTGACTTTCTATTCAATTCACATATAACGAATATGGTAAGAATATTCAAGAGCCATGAATACCATGAAGTCGGTCGATCAACCGTCGATTCTTTCTAAGCTTTAGCGATAACATATTTAACAGGTAACATAATTATGAATTTTTTAGAAACCAATTATTCTTCACGGTCATGAACGATCTATAACGCAAATCAAATATAATCGAGAAGGTGATCTGTTATTTTCATCGGCTAAAGATAACAAACCAAATGTATGGTTCTCTTTGAATGGAGAACGTTTGGGAACATTTAATGGCCATCAGGGTGCAGTATGGTGTATCGATGTGGACTGGACAACAACAAAATTTATATCTGGTGCTGGAGATAACACTTGCAAACTTTGGGATTGTGAAACAGGCAAAGAAACTGGAAATATTAAAACCATGTCATCTGTAAGAACATGCATGTTCAGTTATTCTGCAAATATGGCAGTGTACTCAACAGATAAAGCCATGAAGCAACCCTGTGAAATTTTTATTATTGATGTAAGAACTATTGATAGTAGTTTCTCCCAACAACAGCCAATATTGAGAATACCAATAAGTGGGCCTCGTGTATCGTCAATTTTGTGGGATAATTTAGATGAAATGATTATTACTGGCCATGAAAGTGGAGAAATAAATCAATGGGATTTAAAGGTACCTTTAATATGAATGTTTAATAATAATATTCTTATCTATGAATATTTGGTTTTGTAGACTGGTAAAAAAATTAACAGCACAAAAGAACATGATAATCTTATAAATGATATGCAGTTTAATAAGGATGGAACAATGTTCATTACAGCCTCCAAAGACCATACCGCAAAACTTTTTGATACTGAAACACTGGCACTTTTAAAAACTTTTAAAACAGAACGTCCAATTAATTCAGCTGCCATCAGTCCAATTGCAGATCATGTGGCTCTAGGTAGATTATCTATACATTGGAAAATGAAAGGATGTATTTTTTTTTTTCGTTTTTAGGTGGTGGTCAGGAAGCTATGGATGTTACAACGACCAGTACAAGGGCTGGTAAATTTGACTCAAGATTTTTTCATTTAGTATTTGAAGAAGAATTTGCTCGTGTCAAAGGTCATTTTGGCCCAATTAACAGTGTTGCTTTTCATCCTGATGGAAAATCTTATTCTTCAGGTGGTGAGGATGGCTATGTTAGAGTTCACACTTTTGATTCATCATATTTTGAATATAACTTTGATTATTAATAACTCGTAAATAAACCCTAAATTTCCCATATAAGTTTTAAATAAAACTTTTTTTATTTATAAAAATTTGTTTTATTAAATTATTCACTTATAGATAATCTAAATGTTTATCAATTTTTATTGTCCTAACTAAATAAATAACCTTTTTGACAATGATCCACCTTCTGCAGCATCAAGCAATTTCCTTTTTAATGATTGTCTTTCAATATCAGCTACTTTTCTAATATTTTGAGGTAATGGTAATTTAGAACCTATTGTAGGAGCAGGCTTGTTACTAAAGAATGGCATTTTCAAACATTCTCTGCAAGTTTTTCTAGCCATTGGATTTAAAACTAACATACTGGAAATAAGTTCTAATAAGTCATCTCCTGCTGCAGTAAAAATTGATTTTAAAGGAATAGCAGGCAAAGGTTTAAAATCAATAAAATCAGACAGAGTTTTAATTCCTGGCCAATTTTCTTCTGTTGGATTGCCAAAAACATCAAAAATCTTTGTAAGTTGGTCTAGATCTGATTCTCCGGGAAATAAAGGTACTCTTAACAGAAGTTCTGCGAGAATGCAACCGACAGCCCAAATATCAATACAAGTTCCATATTGCTTAGCCCCAAATAATAACTCTGGTGCTCTATACCATCTTGTAACAACCTTAAGTAAATAGTATATTATAATTGGTTAAAAAAAAATTATTTAAATAAAAAGATACCTGATGGGTGTTTACCCTGTTTGGTGAACCAAACATTTTTGCCAAACCAAAATCACCAATTTTTAACACACCTTTATCATTCACTAATAAATTGTTAGGTTTCAAATCACGATGTAATATCCAATTTAAATGCAAATATTCAAGTCCTTTTAATGTTTGGAGAGTATATGACTTTATATTTGCTGTCGTGAGTATAATTGTGTTGTCCTTAATGACTACTTCAAGATCAGTATCCATAAAATCAAATACTAAAGAAACATTAGACATATGGCCAAACACATCTAATAGTCCAATAAGATTTTCATGGTGTAATTCCTGCAATAACTTTATTTCCCTTAAAGCTGTTCTATTAATTCCATCTTGAGCTTCTACTCTGCTTCCTAATTTTATCTTTTTTACTGCTACTATATTTTCAGTCTCAACATCTCTAGCTTTAAATACTGTTGCAAACTGACCTTCTCCTAAAAATGCAATTTTCTCGTACCGTTTTAATTTATTTTCCATTATTTAAATAATTTTTTACATCAAGATTTAAAAATACATCAAATAGTAAGTAATACGAAAGTTAGGTTATGAGAAAAATTTTTAAAACATAAAACCAATCAGAGATATAGAGATTGTCTATATCCCTGAAACCATTATAAGTGTGACAACTGACAAGTATATAAATCCGTTTTCCTCTTTGGTTTTCCTATATCACTCTCAGAGATCACTCTGGTTATCTAATAAAATAATATCATAAATGATATGAATGGAAGGAATGAAATTATTCCAAATTATTCATGAGCTTGAATGAAACTCAGAATACTACATAATTAAAACGTGACAAAATCATAAAAATAATTAATTTTAACTAGTTTATAATATGTTGATTTTTGCAAGAGGTTTTTGCTGCTTTATTATATACTTACACTTTCCTTTTCAAAACGAATTTACTAATATTAAAACATGCTATTTTATTTAAAACATTTATATTTGTTGAATAATTTGCGGTATTTTAAAAATGAAACACAGGATTTGTGTTCAACTATTGTTAGTAGTTCTTTTCACTCAAAAAATATCATGCATTTTTGAAAAAACGAACATTAGTAAAAAAACGTCTTAATTAATTTCAGCCATATTTCACCTAAAAATTTTCACATGACGAATTATTAATAACTATTGATAACTGCTTTAGCTGACACTAATCAATTTGTAAAATAGAAAATCAGAGAATAAATATCAATTTTGAGTGTAAACTTTTCTAGCTAAACAAAAAGTAGAAAAAACACGTTCATTTTAAAATACAAAATGTAGGTACCATCCATAGAGTTAAAAGTACCATCCAAAATAATAGAGAAAATACCACAACGAGTTTTAGTCCACCATGTATTTACCATAGGACACTAAATTTTAGTCTAAATGTGGACATATTTTTTAAAAACTATACTTAGTATAAATTAACATTATGGTATTTTAGACATAGGAATTTTATTGTAAATCGAAAAAAATGTTCCATTTAAAAACTAAAACATTTTGTATAAAAAATAAAAATATATGAGAATCAGTAAAAAATATTAAAGTTTAAATCTCAAACAGAAATTGTAACAGAGCTTTTTCGGGGCATTGAGTCGAGACATCCTCTATAACAAGGATTAAGTAATTTTAAAATTTATTTTCATTAAATTGAAACAAGCAAACTTTCATATATTAACTGATAACGAGTTAATAATCATTAAACTAACGATAAATAATACTTCTCGTTACTTCATTCACGATGCAATGATATGGAAAGTTGTCTTCGAAAAGATATATCTTAAACATGACCCAAATTTTAAAAATTCGTAAATAGACATCAACGAGTCTTAATTAAACCATCGAGGATGTTTAAAATTCCCATCCACAGTTCGTTCCAAATCCAAGCTCGGAAGTTCGGCCATCGCGTCCTCCGGTATTGATCGGTTTCGGCGCGCAAGGGGTGATATTCCCACTACCCTCTCTTGTTCGCGACCAAACAGTGCTCGTCAAACAGCGGTTCGCCACGGTCCGTCACGATGTCCTCCTAACCGTCATGATCTCGTGACTGACGACGACCTCCGCTATGTCGTCCATATCCGCACAGGGTGTCGTGGAACGGGCCTCCGCAGAACTGTCCAAACGCATCAATGGCCTGGGACTACGGGGCAGCAAACACCACTCTTCCAAGGGCAGCGTCATGGAACGGGTCACCAACGTCTTCTGCGGAGGCGGCAGCGCTACCGCGGTCACGGCTCCCGAGAAACCTTCCAGGTTGTTGCCCTCCAGGAACCACCAACAGCTAAAGAACACCCCACAAGCGCCGGTGGTGCCGCAAATACGAAAACCCAAACCGCTTCCGGTGTATTTGACCTGGGATCAGCTGATGACGGACGAGAAGTTCTTGTCCAGGTTCTTCTTGTATTTTAGTCCGAGCGAGCGATGCGTGCTGGTCCAGGTGTGCGTGAGGTGGAGGGACATAATGTACAGGTCGCCTCGGTACTGGACTGCGATGATTCCGGTGTTGCAATGCCGGGAGTTGAGGAGTTTCCAATCAACGGAACGGTCCAGGCTGTATTCTTCGTTATTGAGAAGGGGGTTTCATAGTCTTTGCTTGATGGGAGCAACTAATGAAGACGCTCTGGATCTTATTAGCGCTTTTCCGCTGGCGTCCAAGCACATACATACGTTGAGGCTGCGTTGTTCCAGTATAGGAGATCAGGGTTTAGAATCTTTAATGGATCATTTACAGGTAAGGAATATGTTTATTTAAGGTGTAAAATGTTATTTTAATAAAATTTAATAATTAGAAACGGTGAATCAAATCTTGAAATATTGTGAATTTAGTATCTATATTTAATGGATAATTTATAGGTAAGAAAAATGTTTAGTTAAGATATAGCAGATTTTTAAGAAATAACAAATTTGAGGTTTATTTTGAATTGGACCATTAGCGTAAAGAGAGGGAAATTATCAATACTTCTCTAATGAGATGTGAACTCTTTATCATTAGTTTCTATTATTACTGCTTATTTCTATATAACCACGCCAATACCTAGCTTATACATATTATTTGTCTAATAAACAAAAAAATATCATTAATTGTTCACAGGTATGTATTTTTACGTGGTGTATTTATTCTTTTAAAAATGAAATGAAATATTTTTTTACTAGTAAATATGCACTGATAGATTTTCTTGGTTTAAAGGTCATATAATAAATATTATATATAAATAACAATAAAACATAATAATTTATTAAACACAATAGCAATATGAAGAAACATATAACCTTTACTGACATTTTAAAAATTACCATAATAACAATAGTTTTTTTTGTGATTTATAGATATGTAATTACCAACTTATTAAGTACATTTTTACAGGATTGATAATCGATTGCATGCTAATTAAGCTTAACAAATAATTCAAGAGGTGTTGGCTTTAACCCGGCTACGGACGATGAGCGATAATATAATATATATATTAAAGCTCGGCAGTAAGCTATAATATTATATTATATTATTACTGCAGTGCACTAGAATATATATTTTTTTATTTTTCAATATAGTAGGCTGATTTAGTGAACTCTATTGTGTAGAAAATGGCGATGGCGAAAGACTTTTTATTACTTGATACCATTGATAGCTTATCAGATGAATCAGATGCTGAAAGCGACAATTTATTAGCAATTATGGTTAGTAACCAAAACAAGCACCAAGATTCTGGTTATCTAATCATATCAAATACCGAAAAAAAACGAGGAGAATTTTCACTTTTTAACGAATTAAGTGACGAAAAATTTACAAATTATTTTCGAATGAACAGAACTAAATTTTATGAACTTCATCATCTAATAAAAATGATATCAAATCACGTAAAACACACGCCACGCGCCGATTTGCTTTCTTCACGAGTACCGCAACGCAAGAGGGGGGAAATATACATCCTAAAAATCGCTCGGAAAGCATATTCGTTCATTTATAAAATATATCGCCCGATATCGCCGGGATATAGATATATATTATAGCATCAATGCGCAGCGACCTGCACTTTTTAATGCAAAGCGATTTTTTAAAATATGTGAGCTATAATATATATTATATTATCGCTCATCGTCCGTAGCCGGCTTTATAGGAGATAAAAGTATTCCCAATAGCCAATAAAATATGTACATACAATAAAATAAAATAAATAGAGAAGATCTCAAAAGTTTCAATAATAGTTAAAATAGTAGTATTTTGCAATATTCTATATATTAAAATATCTTATATTAATATAATATACCTAATATATAGATTTTTAGAGTTTAATAATATACTCATTTGGTCATGCATTTTAGTTTGGTTTGGTTTGGATTTTAAAGTTTAATATATTTTGTTCTAGTGAGCCGATTTTGATGATTTTTATGCAATTTGTGCTAAATTATTTGACTTTTTTGTACCTCTTTCTAAAATAAAAATGAAAGTTTCCATCTGTCAATTATACGAGGGAAAACAAAATGTTGATATTTTGGTGAAAGTTTGAAACAACCTGTGGAATATATTAACGTAGCAAGGAATTTAAAAATTATTTTATCATCTAGGCACGTATTTTCTCGATAGTTTGTTTTTTGATTTATCTCAATAGCACTGTTATCTGTGTCAATAGCTATATTTTTGTTGGGGATATGCGCTTTTGAATAGGACAGTAACAACGATTTACAGCAATTTTAGCGTTGATTTTGGATCCTCATCAACACACTTATTAAATAGTGTTTATTGGGTTTATTGTTTTTGGAATGTCACTGTCATTGAAAAATCATATTATTGTTGTTTATTGACGTTTACTCTAGTAGAGATGGTTTTAAATTCTGAAGTATCGGCTGTTGTTGCTTTAATTTATTATGGTAGAGATCAACTTTTGGACTTAAAAATATCTGCTAAATTAACTGACCAACGGACAATAATAATATAATTTTTCAAAAACAGTGACATTACATAAATCATAAACATCTCTGACAACAAAGTTATTTGCTGTCTTCATGAATTCAGTTTACTTTATTGATGCCCCCTATACACATAAAAAACCTAATTAATATAGTAAGAACCCGTTTTTTATTGAGCGGAAAGCATGTATGTTAATGTTAAACAATTTTTTGGCGGATTATATAACTTTGCGACTAAAGTACAGAAATTTGGGAGGTTCGTGTGCTATTTCGACAATACCAGTAATTTGTCTACGTTTGATCTCATCAAACGTACCAATTCCAATGTCGTTTTGTCGTTTTAATGATACACATTAGATAGCTCCTCAAATGAGCGTGCCCTTCAAAAGTTGGAAAAAATTCCCATTTATTGAAAAAGTAAAAGGTATATACTTGCATACGCGAAATAACAGGTCAACATCATAAACAGGTCTTTTATAGGTCTGTGACAAGAACCAAAAACAAAGGCATGGTTTCAATGCAAAAATACGAAAAAATGTTATCTAGCGAATATCTCCAAAAAAATAAAGCTATTGAGATGAATCGAAAAACAAACTATCGCGAAAAGATACAACTAGATGACAAAATTATGTTCAAATTCCTTGCTTTGTTAACGTACTCCACAGGGTGTTTCAAACTTTCACCAAAATAACATTTTGTTTTCTCTTGTATAATTGATAGATGGCAACATTCATTTTTAATTTAGAAAGAGATACTAAAAAGTCAATTAATTTAGCTACAAATTGCTTAAAAAATCATCAAAATCGGTCCAATATAACACAATATGTAAAACAACATTGAAAATGAACAGAACACAATATATAAAACTTTAAAATACATGGAAATTTTAAGGTGCTCGTTTTTCATGCCGGTGCGGTGGGTGTATATCCCATTAAAAATTAATATTATTTTTTTTTGTTTATAATATAATTTTAATCTCAAATATAATTTTACTTCATAGCAAAAAATCACATACTTCTTTCAATAATGCAATTCGTTTATATTGTATTTTAATAATATAATTATTATAGAGCTAGTATATTGACCAAATAACACTAGCCAAAATTACAATATCAATTAAAATATTATATATCTTGGACATTAACAAATTGATAATATAGGTATATAATGAGGTATACTCATTTATTCTTAAAATATTCTTAAAAATAATCTCTATACTGTATTTCTTGATTTATTTGCTTTGCAAAAGCACAACTGTTATACGGAACAAAGTTTATTTTCAAAATTAATTATACTCTAAATGGATTACTCGGAACATATTAATACTGTTTAAATTGAAGTTAAATTAAATTACTGTTACGTAGTTCGTGTTTAAACTTTAACAGCACATTGTTCACAAAATAATATATGAGTACACTAGACATTGTTTAAATTAAAAAGTTAAATGTGCAGTTGCAAAGGTCATATTATTTTCATTTAAAGTAAATATATATTTTTTGTCTTTTAATAATTACTATTTTGCTAATTTTAATAAATAATAAACACGTACAGATTTATTTTCAGCAGTTAACATCAAATATTAGCAACAAAAGTTATATTTTTACATTAAATTGTTGTTTTAATAAAATTTTAATAAACGGAGAATCACATACTGAAATATTGTGAAATTAGTAAACTTAAAGACAAAGTAAAAGCGTATTTGTATATAGAAGTATTTTTAATTTTTTTAGAAGGTCAGATCTAATTTGAAACTTTCTCAGAATTGTTGTTTTGAAATCTAAAAAGATTTAAAAACTTGACCTCTCAATTACTCTTTCAGAAAGGTTAAGGGCATATCCCAGAAAACAGGATTTTGTTTGAAGACAAATTTAATTGTTTTTAGTAGAATTGCACTTGAAAGATATTGTATCCCTATAACAATTTAACTTTTTTTCTAAAACAATTTAATAAATTAGCCAGTAGATAAAATTGTTAAATATAATGTGAATATTTTTTAAGGTTATTTTTAATCAAGCATTTATTTGTATATATTTTTGAAGTTATTAATATTATTGATAGGATACATAAATTACTTGTGTAACCTATAGAATAAACAGAAAATCTTTTATAGGTACTGAATATTTTGTATGATCGAGAAAAGTCGTTTAGTTGGCTTGGAAATGACGACTATTGACATTTACCATAATATATTTTACTTATGAAATCACAGCATTTCCAAGGTAACTCTGACGCCGTTCTTTGTTTAATCATATAATATTATATTAATTTTTTTAACGATAGAAAATCCGTATTATTAGTAGTGATGGGAAAACCAGTTCCACATAAGTCGCGTTACAGTAGCGACCGTTCCAGAAAAATACCGCGACAAAATACCGCTATTTTGTAATCGAGGTTCCGACTTCCACAGTGTCTAATAATACTATAGTTAGTTGCTTGTGAAATTGATTACCTGCCGCTATAATGCTTTTTTTCATTATATTGCGGGAAGTAGCATTATATTTTAATTTTTGAAGAAATATCAAGGAATGACGTATTGTCTTGAACGGCTCATATTTATGTGTATTGCAACATAATATATTTAATGTTAAAATCAAGAACAAAGTCCAAACCACTGTCAAAAAAAATGTTTATTGGTGACCGGTTTCGGCAATTCCAGCCATCATTAAACCTTAAAAATAAATATAAACAATAAAACTTATATAAATGTATAAAAGCAAATAACATTTTTATTTTATTTTATTTGCTTTTACGTTTCATCTTTCTAACAACGCTATTTTATACCGTGCCTAGTAAATACCAAAAATCGCTATTTCGAAAGTAACGTAG